TAATATATTCAACTCCACAAAGACTCTTATTATTTAAGGAGAACTCCATTTTATTTTTGTGATTTAATATGGTGGATCAGAGAGGGAGAAAATATAGCATCCACAACAATTACAATATAATACTGGTCATCTGTATCCCAATCACAGTCTTAACAATTATGGGATCCATAACCATTAGCGTAATTTGATTATTAACAGTCTCAAATTTCAGCTGATTAAGTTTGTATATAAAATTTATATATTTAATATTTTTGTAATTGATTAATTTTTTAGTAATATAGTATGTGATTTATTATATGGTCCAATATTGTTCCTATACACCCTTGATGAGTTGACATATTGAGTACTTAAATCTTTTTTCTTAAAAAAATACAAAATTAAAGAATATTTGTTTATTAACATGGGTTATTAATTAATTTTAATTACAAAATTAGTAGATTGAGGACAGTTGAGGAGAGTTATAATGTTAATAGGTAAAGAATTATGTATATAATATTCATAATTATTTTTTTATTGAGTAAATTTTTTTATATATTTTTCATAAAACAAAAGTATTTTTTTTTAAATATATTGTATTGTATAATCAACTTTTTATATTTCCATGTCTTGATATATTTTATTACTATATACATGAAGATCATCTATATATATCAATCTTATTTAATAATTAATAGAAATATAATTTTGTTACAGATATTGTATATATGTTCAATAATACTATAATATTACTAGTACAATGATTTATATACAAAGTGATATGGTAGAAAATGAATGGAAGATTGAATACAAAAAATCAAACTCATTATATTCACTCTTTTATCCATTTTCTGTCACATCACTTTCTATAAAAATTTATGCAAGGTTTCTTTGTACATGTAGTATTACTCATATATATGCATATTTTATTCAATTTTACAAACTCATATTTGGTTAAAATTACGTAAAATAAAAATATAACAATGAGAAAAAAATTGATACAAATGAATATTTTTCTTGAAAATTCTTGGACAAAAAGGGAATCATTTCTCTGCTTTAAGGAAAAAAAAAAAAATCTTTTCTGACAAGTCATTGCACATTTCAATTTGAATTTGGGATTCCGCATACAAATAGAAACAGAATACAACATGAAATACAACCCGAAAAAAAAAAAAAAAATTGTAAGATCTAAAAACATATCCTTTCGTGGCCTTGATACCATATATTCTATGGTTGGGGTGTTTATTGATAGAAATCAATTGTTTAATCCTCGATGGGTTAACATTTATTTTTTCTTTTCTCATGCAACAATTTTTTCTTATTAATCATAACAAATCATTTTTTTTTCTTATTTATTGATGCGACTAAATCAACTTTAATAAGTACACTACTCGTATTCAAGTAATAAAGAGATGAATTTGAGTATCGTTCCACAGAGATCAAAGTAATTATTCATAATTACCTAAAACTATCTATACATTAATTGAGAAAACAAAATTTTAAAGTGTAAAACTAACTGATTAAAAATAACTAAATTAAATAAATAAATAAAGTGAAGAACTTTACATTATTAATGAAGTTAGGGTACAGATTTCCCCTTAATTATGTTTGACAACTACTTTTAATACTCGTTTATGCTATGAATTAGTAGGATTCTTCTAAGATCAATTATCCTTATTCAGGCATAATATTCAACTTAATACAGATCCCTATTTGATTACTCTAAAATTAAGAAGTATAAAATCATCAACCCGTTACGACTAATTCACCTTATTTGGTTATGAATTAGGTGGACCACAAATTAATCCTAGAATTTCTATTTGATTACTTCTAGTTTTAATATATTGTGCAATGTTATTCCAATAAAACAATTATGAATATGAATTAAGCAATAAACCCTAACTTCTCTATTCGAAACATCATCAAGGTAATTGAATTAATCCAATATTCATAAAGCATTAAACCTAAACTCTTGTACAAACTCATCAACATAAATCTGGCATTAAGAATAAAAATTGTTCAAAACATAATTAGGATTTCATGCTCCCCTAACGAAAAAAATTTACTTCATCCTAAGAACAAAGAAATAAACAAAAAGAAAAAAAAAAAAAAAACATATTCAGACTTGAAAATAAACAAAAATAAAACTCTTAAATCTGATCTTCAGTATTCAAGCCCCAAGAAGGCGTCTTCTCCTCTCCAAAATATGCAAAATTCATATTTCTTTAGCTAATCTCAATCATACTTAAATATCCTAAAGAGTATTAAGTGAAAAATGAAATAAAAACGACCTAATAGTTTCCGCCACGGCCCTGGCTGTGGCCAAATTTAAGTTACACAGCCTAGGTCGTGGTACTTTTTGGTCTCTTTGTTTTATCTTAATTCCACCACCATGGTCATGGTGAACCATCAAGGCATGGTCGTGGCTTTTAAGAATGTTAAGTATTCTCAACTTCTTTAAGCTTTAAGTCTCAATTTCATCCCAATGCTAAAATCTACTCAATCAATGCCTAAAAAACACAAAGACTATCCAAATCAATAGTTAACCATTCATATCTCAAACTAAGAAAAACTAACATCGAAACAACCCTAAAAACATCAAATTATGGAACTTATCATTTATCATAACAAACCCATACCAATATTTTCTCTTATTCCTTTCCTAAACCATACAAACTATCTTGTACAAACTAATGTAACAACTATTTGTCATATAAATTCTTTTAATTATTTAATTTATAATCGCTCAATCATCTTTTATCACGTCGATTTGTATAAAATGTTTATAAATACAGTATTAATATAAATAAAGAAATCCTTTTTCACGTTCTTTGAGATTGGTGGATGTGGAAATATAAAATCTTTTCATTGACACATCAATTATCACCATATCAATTTTAAATTCACATTGATTTTTCATTTACATATTAAAGCCATTATTTATGGCATATACTCAATATCAGTTTTTCATTTACATATCAATATTATGGCATATACATCACTAGCTATAACAAGTCATATATAAGAGCATCTTCAATAGCTCTCTTTATTTTAAAGAGCATCTTTCATATAAATAAAAAGCATTTTATTAATTTCTAAATATAAATAACAAAATTTTTATTTAAATCCTATAGAATCTTTAAATTTAATGAAGATACTCTTTATTTTCAATAAAGTGACTTAATAAGAGAAAAATTTAATAAATAAAATGCATAGAAACTTGTAATTTATTTATTAAAATTATAATAGAGAGTGAAATTTGACTCTCTAGATGTGGAGAGTCAAACTCACTCTTTAATTTATATTTAAAGAATAAAGAGTTTATTGGACTCTTATTTTTATGGATAGACTCTTTATAATAAAGAGTTTAGGTCATATAAAGTAGGGGTGTCCGGTTCCGGGTACCTTGCACTTTTTGAAGGAACCGGAACTGGAACCGAAGGTTCCTTGAAATTTGGAACCAGAACCGGAATCGACGGTTCCGGTTCCTAGGTACCCAGAACCAGAACCTGTAACAACGGTTCCGGTTCCGGTTCTAGGTACCCTATAAAATTTATGACCCCCTAAAAGTTTTTAAAATAGCAAAAAAAACCCTTAAAAACTTACAAATACCCCCCCCCCGGCACTTGTTAACAAAGATAAAATTACAAATTATAAATTCAAAATTACAAACTCCATTACCTTGTAAAGTTAGATTCTCAAAAGTCAAACCAACTTACTTTAAATGTTATGAAATATAAATATAAATGTATTCACATTACTTTGTCTACAAAAGTTTTTATTAACCCCCCTAATATTTAATTTTATTTTATATTAGTCTCGGTTCCTGGTTCCTGGTTCCTGGTTCCTGGTTCCTGATTCCTGGTTCCTGGTTCCTATTCCTGGTTCCTGGTTTCGGTTCTGGTTCTTAACTATAGGAACCGGAATCGGAACTGCACAGTAACGGTTCCAAAAATTTGGAACCGGAACCTACCCATTAACGATTGGTTCTGGGTAAGAACCGTAACCAAACCTAAGGTACCCGCCGGTTTCGGTTTCAACCGGTTCTTTTGAACACCCCTAATATAAAGAGTCATTTGGAGATGCTCTAAGTGTAACTAGTAATAACGGGTCCGTTTGGTAGAATATTTTCTACCTTATTTCCGATCTTATTCTCAAAATAACTGTTTGTTTCATTATTTAGGAAATACTATTATATTTTATTCAATTCCTTTTAGACCCCTTAAGTTTATTAATTTAATTAAACATCTTTAGAAAAAAGTTTAAAAATTAACAAAAACACCCCCACTACCCACATTTGTCAGATTCTGATGGCCACCGCTGGAAGGTAGCCAGAATCTAGTATAGTGGCGCACTACAGACTGGATCTTGCCAGTAGTGTGTCGATCTATCATTTTCTGGCCAGATCCACAGCCAAAGAGCTTTGGCCGTAAATGGTTATCAACGACGGCCAAGATATGGCCGTCGTTGACGACCAAACATGATCAAATCAACGACGAGATCCACGATGAATCTGGTTGAAAAAAGTCGTCTCGACACACAACCAACCAGATCTAACCGATTATGCGCTGATACGACGACTCTGACCACCTTCTGATAGTGGTGGTCGGTTACCAGAATTTAATGGGTGAATGGAGGTATTTTTATAATTTTTAATGTTTTTATTACAAGGGTGTTTAGTTATTTAACAAACCTAAGGGGTGTTTTTGTTAATTTTCAAATTTCACCTCGTTGTTCCCACCCAACTCTAAAAATATCAAAAATCCTACTCAAAATACTAAAACAAATGCACCCAACAATTTTGTAATAGCAATTGAATGCATAACATTATTTACATAATAATTGAATCATTCTTGAAAGTAAGTTAATATTCAATGTATTATTTTTTGCCATGATTTTATATTCTGCTGCCTTTCAACACAACCTTTATACCCTTTTCCCTTTATTGTTTTCATTTTACCACTCTGATAATAGGGTCAAATGAAAAAAGAAAAAAAGAAAAAAAAAAGGATTTAGACGAAAAAGAAAGAAAGAAAATTACATCCCAAAGTAATAGATGCATCATAAATGAAAACATTTAAGTATAAATACAAGAAATCTAAGTTTTATACATAAGGATATATATATATAATTTGTTTGTAATTTCCTCATTTTCATGACCCTCTTTTAGACCGTGTAGGATTGCTGAATTGTGCCTATATCAAGCCCCTTTAGCCTAACTACTGACTCCACATGCCCTTTGAGTGTATTCAGTTCTCTCAGTCTGCAAGAATCAAGGATCAGAAAATACATTAGAGTGAACCTCCATTTGTATACTAGTCGATAGATCGCAACAATTGCGACAATCAGTTTGTTAGAAAACTTTGTTAGATGATCAAATGGTGCATTAAAAGTTGATAACTTTAATTTGTTTGCTGGTATTGTGTTACCTTGCAATCTCAGCTCGTCTTTTTGCCTCTTCAGCCATCTGGTTAAGTTCTGTGAAACTATTGCGGTCAGTGAACATCTTGGTGTCAGGTGCATGCAATCCGTGGAGGGTCCTCTGTGCATGCGCCCATTTAAGCTCACGTTCTTCTTTTCCGAAATCCTTCTTTTTTGTGAATGCAATCTGCGAGAGAGCAAATTCAAATTCAGAAAGAGAGCAAGGCGCATCACTACTCAAAATTATGCTGTTGAATTAAAGTCATACGTACCCTTTGCTCGATGACAAGATCCCAAGCCCTCCCACTCAGGGCGTATCTGACAAAGAACTTTATAAAATCTAGTGGGATATAGGTGATGATGCTATAAAGCCAGATCACACCAGCCCAACCCCATCCAATTCCTTCTATTGCAGCAAAGGTCCAGTTTGCATAGACAGCAATTATTGTAGCAATCTGCTCACAGTAAATACGATAAAACAGCAACACACAGAAAGAACATGCTCAGAAATGCAGGCAAAGATCAGCATTCACTTACCAGCTGAGCAACAATGAAAGCAAAAAGAAGTAACAGGCCAGGACGCTCAATGAAAGACCAACTCCTAGCTCGAGTCACAAAAATGAGGGCCTGACTGATTATGCTCACTTGCAGGTAGACAGCTGAGGCAAGCTTTCTCCAGTCATCAACATCCTTCTTCTCCAGGCTTGAAACTCCAAATGTACGCTGAAAATTGCATACTAAAGTTTCAATGCCAGCAATTGAACAGAAGATGTTGACAAGTATACATTCAGGAGCAAAGAAGTGCATCTGGAAATATAAAACTGAATTCTACCAAATTGACGCCAATTATTAATTTAAGAGCTCTAAAATGCAGTAGAGCAATATTACTCTCAGATATTATCAAAAATGATCACAAACATATCATTTATCAAGCATTCTGTCAATCATTAATCAATATCGTTCTCAAATATTATCGAATAGGATCATGAACATATCATGTAAGACTTCAAAAAGGCAATCCCTTGATAAGAGGATAATGGAAATAGAGAAAGATGTAAGAAAAATCAGAAAAGGGTTGAACTTTCACAATGTTATGGATGACAATGCTTGAGATAAAGTGGTATATATACAAGACATAATCCACAAGGACAATCTATCACTGGTGGAAAGAGAATGAGCAGACCCAAAAATCTTACAAGTATGGATGAAAAATGTAATGTCATATGATCAAAGCATGAACATCCAGTCCAGCACAACTTTAGTAAGATGATAGAATAAAGGTAAATTGCCTTACAGGAAAGAAATCTGTCCTGTATGCCGCCCAAAAGAAAATTACTGTCATCATTGCTAAGTAACCACCAAAAATGATGCCGGTAGTAAAAATCTCGGCCAACTTCCAGCTGTCTGGCTGAGGAGATGGTTTCACCCTATCCTTCGATATCGTCATAATGGTTCCTGGCTCACCAGAAACAATAGAAGTATCAATAGCAAAACTTACCAACCCTAGCCCCCTCCCCAAATAGGGTAGGAAAAAGAAAGAAAACGAAGAAGAAAGACAAACCATCATTAAGAATAGCAATTATCAGCACCATGAAGGGTGGAAAGTCAAACTGCCATATAAGAGCTAGTAGCATGAAACCAAGCTGTAACCAAAAAGAAAAGTTAGTATGCCAAATCCAAATGCACAAGCTATTTTGAGCAGCACTCCAGTATATTCACATAAATTGGGCTATAACTACTACTGCAAAGTTGCAATAACCAAACAACTTACCACAATACGAATAGTAATGGAGACTGCATATATCTGCAACACGAAAAAAATCAATAAAGGCACCAAAAAGAAGAAAAAGTAAATAAATAAATAAATAGAAAAGGAGAAGCAGAGGCAGAAAGAAATCAATTAAGTCAAGTAAATAATATTGTTGTCTTATAGTTTCTCAACGCCTTCACTCGAATGTGCCTTCACTTGTAATGAGCTACCACCAGTCCTATCAAACCCATCTTTGTTCTAGACTCAAATATAGCACCATGTGATCTGAAGAAGCCTAATTACCACAATCTAGACTCAACTAGTTGGGATTAAGCTTGATTAAAATGAACTACTTAATGTTTTTGTACGATAGGCATATGGATTAGTCAGGATGGCCACACACAAAAACAATCCTCTATTTGGAATGTAGAACAAACTCTTCTCAAGGATCAGAACCAACACTCACAGTGTAATTTTTCATCCTCTGGAAGATTGCCCGACTAGTTAAAACAGCACTAATAATAACACTAAGACCAGGTTCAGTCAGGACAATGTCAGAAGCGCTACGAGCAGCATCAGTTGCATCAGCAACAGCTATGCCAATGTCTGCTTTCTTAAGAGCAGGAGCATCATTGACTCCGTCACCAGTCATTCCACATATATGTTTCCTAGCTTGCAAACGTTTCACAATCTCATATTTGTGTTCTGCAAATAAAACAAGACCGATGTCAAAAGCAAGGAAAACAGAAGAAACATACTATGAGTTATATAAAAAATACAACTAATCTTGTTAACCAGGAATCAGTCACCACTAAAGCTACCAACCAATAGCATTGTGATCCAGCAATATGTAATTGACAATTGCAAATATACGGAACAAGTTTCTTGCCATTAGCAGATAAAGGGAGAGCTCTGGGCCTTGGGCTAAACTTAGGCTATCCACTACAATTTTAAATTGAAAAATGAAATAAATAAACAAAATTGATGAAATACCAGGGAAAACACCAGCAAAACCATCAGCTTTCTCTATGAGCTCATCAACAGGTAAAGCAATGATTGACTCATCTTTGTTCTGTCCTAATAAAGCTGATGAAGGATACATGTTGGTTCCCATGCCCAAACGACGTCCTGTTTCCTTTCCTATAGCAAGTTGGTCACCTGCAAAGAGGGAGAGGTCAAACAAGTGGAGCATTAATCAGTATGATAAAGAAAAAGTCAACCTAATACAACTTCCTCGATAGAGAAATTGCCACTGGAGTACTTAAATGTCATAAGGTACGATAAACAAAAGATGAATCTAAACATAGAATTTTGGAAATTAAGCAAAATGCTTTAGATACAAATGTACAAACATTGACCGAGAATTACAAAATAGTGAGAACATAATACGATGGAATGGAGAAACACCTGTGATCATTTTCACATTCACCCCAAGATTCAATGCTCTCCGAATTGTTTCTGCACTATCATGTCTAGGTGGATCAAACAGAGGCATGAGACCAATAAATTGCCAGGGGCCTCCTGGGCTCTCTTTCCTTCCGTCCGGAACTTCCTGAGAAGCAGTTGATAAATATAGGCTTTTAAAATATGAACCACTATAAATTCAATGCATAGCTGCAGTAACTTGAAAATATAACCTATAGATAATAACGTTAGGAGACACATATACCTGGTATGCCACTGCAAGAGATCGTAATCCACGTTCTGCAAACTTATCAATCACAGCATGAACTCTCCGTTCAATCTCTGATCTGTTGTGTGCAAGGTTCAAAATCTGAAAAATAAATAACAAGCATAAATTACTTCAAATGGAATTACAGAAACATTAAATAAACAATTAGTTGCTGACAGTCATACCTGTTCTGGCGCACCTTTGCTGACCCGATGCATTTTACCTTCACTGTCAATATATGTCAGAGCAGTTCGTTTATCGGTAGGGTTGAAGGGAAGGAAGTGAACTTCTTGAATATTAGCCCGTGCCTTTTTCATTGTCAAAATACAGAGAAACCAGTGTCAAAGAAAGATCAAAATATATAAAAGAATGATAAAAAGTGATATCAAACAGAACTCAAGTATCATTGTTGGCTTTGCCACTACTAGAGGGCAACCTCAACAATTGAGTGATATAAAACAGAACTCAACTATTAGTAAGTATACCTCTTTTGGATCAGCCAACATTCCCACAATAGCAGTGTCTATTGCATCCTGGTTTTCTAATCGGGAGGATCGAGCCGCCATCAGAACGACAGCATCTGCATCTACTCCTTTTACAAAGACCTATGAAAAGAATCCAGACTAAATGTTTGGGGAAAGAATTACAGTTGAGAAAGTCAAAAAGGGGACCAAAATTGCTGCTAAGACCTCTCACCAACCTCAATAAGATTCTTGTCAACTGTTAATTTGTTCAAAGTTAGAGTTCCAGTTTTGTCACTGCAAAGTACATCCATGCCTGCCATTTCTTCTATTGCTGTCATTCTTTTTGTGATAGCTCCCTGCAGCAATTAGGCAAAGAACATAAATAACAGTATTGGCAACCATCCACCCTTGAGCAGTTAAAATAACATTACTGCAATAGCAATTAAAACCAACCTGCTGAGACAACCGGTGGGAACCGATTGCCATTGTCACAGATAGAACTGTGGGCATCGCAATAGGGATTCCTCCAATAAGGAGTACAAGTAAATTGTCAATTCCAGGTCGGTATTTCCTGCGTTGAATTGGGTACATAACAATGATCTCTATTATCATCCCCACCGCAATGGAACAGATACAGAAATTTCCAATAGCAGTCAGGACCTGTTAAACAAGCACAAAAATCATTTTGTGAATACTAATATAAATTAACTAAAAAAGTTTGAAAGGCACGAGGAAAATCATGAAAAGAGGTATGCTTTTAACACAGTAATCAGTAAGTAATATCAGTAGAAGAAAATAAAAGAGAAAAAGATTGAAGCATAAATCACAAAATCAGAAATGCCATTAACTATTTAAGTCTGAAAGAACAATAAATATATATACAGGAAATAGCTGAGAGGAATAGCCACAAATGAAGATGGAAGACCCACAGCCATGGATGCTTCATCTTTCACCACAAATTCAGGTACCACACTGCTTTAATATTAAATTTCAAAAAATTTCTCTCTTTTGATTTCTGTGTCCCTTCTCTTTTTCTTACCTTTTGAAAGTGCCCCACTTGATTAGTGGAATCCACAAGGTGTGCAGCCTTTCCGAAGAAAGTATGAACACCAGTGGCAATAACCACAGCTTCAATCTCACCCTGTTTGCACGTAGAACCAGAATATACACTGTCACCAGGACCTTTTGTCACAGGAAGAGACTCACCCGTAAGAGCAGACTGCAATGTTCAAATAGACAAATGTAAATGGAATGCCTCAAGTTAACCAAATCAATCTGAATTCTGGGAACAAAATGGCAAAATTTGCAGAAGCACCTGATCAATTTTCAATGGATCACCTTCCAGGAGACGGGCATCTGCAGGAATAATGTCCCCAAGCTTAACACTGATTATATCACCAGGAACAAGAACGGCTGCATCCTCCTCAATCCACTTCCCATCTCGAAGAACCTGAAAATTCTCCAATCAAGACAAATATGAAATCACGGAACCATATACAACAATAAGTTCAACCTCTATATTAACTAACAACTCAGATTTACATCAAAACAACAGGACAACATGTTATGTTTCTCGAAACATTATACCTTTGCTTTAGGAGCAAGACGAGCCATGAGAGCTGCAGCAGCATTACCGGCATTGTTCTCCTCTATGAAACTTATGGTTGAATTGATAAAAAGCAGGGTTATAATTCCAACAAAATCTTGCCAGTCCGGGGGTTTACCCTGCAGGACCACGTTTCCAACAATGAGATTATTCAAGAATTCAAAAAATTTGTTGAAAAAAATATATCTTTTATTAGAAATACAAGAAAAAAAATTAAGAAAACTCTTTGCTTTCTATTTTTTTCATCAAAGTTAAGAAAACAGGGCCAAAGAAATATATAATAGTTTATTAAAGTTCCAATATTCCTCTATACCGGTTTTTTTTTTTTTTTCTTTCCCTATATCTCGGCAACCAAACAGAGAAAAAAATAAGGCAAAGAGCACTTACTCCTCCATTGGCAAGTGCGATAGCCATAATAGCAGCAGCTTCCATGACCCATGAGAGAGGGTTCCACATAAACCCCAAAAACTTGATAAACTTGCTCTCCTATAAAAACAAACTAACTCATTCACAAACTCAGTAAAATTCCAGAAAAATAGAAAAAAATAATAATTTCTTGTCAAGTTTCAATTGTTTTCAAATGTCAAAGAGCTCATCTAGGTGAACTCTTCAAACATGAAAAATTTTCCAATTTTCACAACAAAATCTCCAAAGAAAAAAGATGAACCTCTTTCTCTTCAAGCTTATTGTAACCACATATGGCAAGCCTTTGCTCAGCAGCCTCTGTTGAAAGACCCTGTCTGTTACAACTCAAGGTCTCAAAAACCTCTTCAATTGGCACGTTTTCCTGCAATCAAAATTCCATATTCATCTCAAAACAAAAACCCCCAGAAAGCAAAAACACACAATACAACCACCCAGAAAAAAAAAGAATGAGAAGGGTAGCTCTGTTTTCTTAGTTTCAGTACCAAATCCACAGCCTCCTTCAACACAGCCTCCATGGCTTCAGCCTTGCTATTCATCTCTCTCAGCAACCAAAAACCCTTCTCTTCTCTCCAAAATTCAACCTCTTTCAAACTCTAAAAAACCATACAAAAACAAAAAGAAACTGAAGACAACAAAAACAGAATACTCTGTTTTTGTTTCACCTCTTCACAGAATTATGAGAAAATTATAAAGACAGAAAGAGAGAGACAGAGGGAGACAGAGAGCTGAGAGTTGGTGGGTTGTTGTCTCTCTCTAGAATCTTAAAGTGGCAGCTTTTTAAGGGCACATTTGTCACTCAACTAGATCATGTACTTGGCAGTACATTCATTCTTTTCCTCTGCTTCTTCTTCTTATTATTCTATTATATTCCAGTTCTTCTTTTAATTCGTTTTAATATATAATGTGTTCTTAATTAAATCAAAATCTACTTCTAATTAATATAATTAATTTGGTTAATACGAGATTATTTCATACGAAATTCATGACGGTATTATTAGAAAGTATCAAGAACTCTATCAATAGGTTTTTGACAATTTAGGGACGTTTTATAATAAATCAATCTTACATGGGTATATGATATTTAATTTAATTTCATATTATCATATAATTTAATAATGTTTGTGAAAATTGAAAAAAGAAATACAATCATAGATGTTTTTGCTTTATATATTTCTTTTTTTTTTTTTTAATTATTGGGTTTAAAGTTGGATGACAAAGTCTTAACCATTTGAGCGATTATTCAAAAGTTTTGTATTTGAGTCTCTGTCGTGATCACTTATCACATTTATGATTTACCTAATGTATTGAGTTTATATAGTGTTTAGTGCGCCCCGAACCCTGTTATTCAAAAAAAAAAAAAAAAAAATCTGTTTTTGTTTGTCATTTTAGATGCATCCAAATTGAAGTGAATAGATTTCACACTAATGGCTAAATTTCCACCGACTTGATACTCTTTGCAATAATTTATTTAATGTCATTTCATGTTAATTTAAGGCCACCCCATTTTAGTTCTAAATTTAATTTAATTAATTTTTAATTTTGTCTAAGTCATAAGTATTTTTCCAAGACTTTGTGATTGCGTAAAAGCAACCTAGAGAAAAATCACTTTCATGTCTAAGCTATTATTAGTGATCATATTTATACTCACTCCAACAAATGTAGGTTGAATGTTACGTAATTAGCTATATTTTTTTACAAAAATATTAATTTATTGAATAATTTTTCTTTATTTTGTGTTGTTTAATCACATGGCTTTAAAATCAAGAAAGGTGTAAATTTCTCTTTTTAAAAACATGATATATTTCTTCAAAAATATTTTGTACACGTATATGAATATGAATGTGGGTTTTTTTTTTTTTTTTAATATGTTACAAGAGCTATTAAAAGCCATATATATTAAGGGTTTGTTTCATTTACCCGTATGAACTCGCTTAATACCAACGTATATATTGCTATTGAAAAGTATTATATTTCCTTAATAAGGCTACTTCATATATTTCAATGATGATAGATGTGATCATCAGTGGGTGGTTCAGATAGTTATGACGAATTGAAAATAATGTGGATATGTGTACGATCTCAATTCTCAAGTTTGGTTTGTTATCTGAATATCCCCAATTTTAAGTGGGGGCTTTGATAACCAGTTGTTGCACTATTCTCTTTCAAGAATTTAGTCAAGGTGTACATAAATTTGTCCAAACATATATTTTTAGGTTCAAATTAATCGAATGATGTAAGATTAAAATAATATTAAATAATTATGCGCGTAAGCTAACTGGACAATTTTCCTAGATTTAAATTAATTGAATGATGGAAGATTGAAATAACGTTAAAAATTATAATATAATGATATGAGAGGAGGTGGAAGAAAAGTCCCTATTAAAATGACACAAAAAAAGTCATAGAAGTCAGTTGGGTTGTTGTCATTTTATGTTTAATAGAATTGGTTTCTTTAACTTTCTTCTTATTGACCTTTGAAAATTGATTCTTCTCAGCTCATCATATCTTTAAATGTTGATTTTTTATTCATACACTTTTTGCATTTTCTTTGGATGTTGGGGACACGTATTGGGTTTGGGTCAAAGTGAAAACATTTTCATTGGAACAAAACAAGCAAATTTTTAGGGACAACAACCTCATCTTAGGGAATTTCTACACGGTTTTTCAAGGACAGTGAAAGTTCGATTTTGCCCCTCTTAATTTTTTTTTTTCCTTTTTTCCTTTTTATCAAATTACTTTGGACCATTTGTCTTTTCTTAGAACACTTACTACGAATCAATAATGTTATTAATTTTATAGTTATTGGATATTGTAGGTGATATTGGATATTTTTTGATGTTATTGATACATATTTTTGAGTCAATCTTTAAACCATGATTCAAAGGTCTAAGATATCACTTTGAATATTATATATTTACTCGTTGAATTGATGGGGTATTGTTATGTTAGTAATAATAACATTAATTCCCTCTTTCTAGATCTATAATCAGGTTGTTTAAACAATCTTTAGACCATAACCGAAAGAACGAAGATAATATTTTCGATACTTTGAATTTATATGAACATTTTTCCTTCATGGTACATAAAACCTACTGCATGCAATAATGATTTAGTGGGGTGGAATCAATTCCAAATTGTTGGAGGTAGAAAGTTATGGATTGAATTTTTATATAAGAAATGATTTACATTTCCATTCCAAAGAGCAAATGCTCCAAAGATACCTCACTGTTGTTGAGACATAGTGGGCATGTTTATAGTATTTTCAACGGAGAATATTTAGGAGATGTTCCACGCCTGTGGGAATGAAGCCATCTATTTGTAGGACCCAAGAATCCATTAACTCAATTATCGTATTCATATAAGTTCATTTTCACTCAATGAAAAAACCCTAATTTAGTAACATTCATTAAAATATCGAGAGTTATCTACCGTTTCGAGTCCTTTCTAACATAAAACATACAACTCCCGTTTGATTTGTTCCACTTGTATGGTAACGTTCTCGGGTAGATATGATAACATTAACTTTTATATAACTAAAAGGGTATTTAAGAAATTTCAACTTATTATATATTCTTTAAGATATGCCAGTCTCATCACATAGAATAAATAAAAGAGAAAAATCAAGAGTAGATTTCAATGTACCAAGTAAAGATTTGACTGTTGGCACCTAATACAAATAATAATATATCTTTGGATGCCATTTAGAGATCTAGAAAATGGCCAACAAAGACAAAGTTAAATGATTTTCAACGGAAGAGAAAGTTATTAAAGCATAATTTTATAAAAGAAGGGTAAAATAGTATTTATCTCCCCTGAAATTTAGGAAAAAAATCCATTACATCCCTTAAGTTTGAAAAATATCGACAAACTTCCATACTTTTAATTTACTTAAATAGTTAGAGGCCTAAATATATTTTTTCTCAAATTGAATGATTACTGTAATTAACCCTAAGCTAAATTTTCCAAGAAATCAATACACATGTACAACATGTTAATGAGAGCGTATAAAATCAACACGTGAATCCCAAGGGATTGACCTGCTGATCAAGGAAGTTTACTGCATTCCTTAAGTTCCTGGGTACAAACTTTGTGACTATCTACCACAATTATATTGTGGTTTACTTGGTTCTTTATGCTTGTAGAGTGTTTAATAGATCCTGAAAATTAGTTGAGGTGTGTGCAAGCTGTCCCATACACTCCGGTTATCAAAAAAAAAAAAAAAAATCAACACATACAACATTTACACGTCTTTATTTGTTGGTTATGTGTGCAATTCCTTGTATAGAGTCCTTTTTATTTTTATTTTTTTCCCTGTATTGTCAAACTCAAAATTAAATACCTAACGCTCTTCTATCGCTAAAAATCTTAATTTAGATAGATGAAAGGTAGGCAACCTACTAATAAAAACAAGAAAGAAGCAAATGGCTATGCCCCTTAACACAAAAATAGAGTAAACAACAAAATTCAAGTACCCATCATGTTACCCTCTTCACATATTAAAGATAAGCATGAAATGATGGTGATCATTGAAAGATTGCCACATGTCCCCAAATCGAAAATCCCTTAGTAGGAGGCCTCCCTTCAATTAATCAATTAAATTTGGGGCGGGAGGGGGTGGTTAATTAATTAAACATGTTCTCCACTCTACCTAGAGATGAATATCATGCCCACCACCTTTTGTTGATTTTGTAATAAAGGAATATATAGGTATATTAGAATAGTAGTATTATACTAACACAACAACTCAATCTTTGATAAAGCAAGATTATGAATTGATTTTGAGTTGTATAATTTAATTTTAATTCTTCTTCTACGACTTCTACAACACGTGTTGAGGGAATTAAGAATACACCCAATTCTTTAAAGAAAAAGGAAGAAACTACTTTAGGCTTAAAAGATTGGGACTTCCATTAATTAAAGTAGCTACTAGCTAGTGCATTTATTCTGTGACATATGCATGTAGGAATAGATTAGAATATTGCTACATTGTCACTATCAACAATCAAACAAATACAAGCATGCTCTAATTTCAAGATTGCCATTTTTTTTCTTATTTTAATTTCAAGATTTTTTTTTTTTTTTTTAATATGAAAGCTTTGAATTTTTTTTTTTTTTTTTCAGAGTTACATTAATATATTTAAATAAGATTAGAGTTGTATTGAAACCTTATATACATATATAAAAGGTATTGGCAATCATCTTTGCTTGCTAAAATTTCAATCACAATCGTAATGTTTTAAATCTTAGTTGTGAGTGTTCCAAATTATTGCATTTCCTTTACGAATGGAATTGACGTGTAAACAAATATAGGCCCATGAATATTTATCACTTTCGTTACTGCATAGATTTCTATATTCATGAACCTATCAATTTAATATTTTATACCCTCTCCACAAATTAAAATACTAAAGTATCTGTAAAATAAATATTGAATTTTTTTTTCTTTATCTATATTAAAAAGAACTGATTATATATATTATATAATACTTAAGCTGGATAGTTAGTCTCTAATAAGAACGTCTTGAAATTAATTCTATCGGAAACCATACTTAAATATCATTGAATTCAGACGTTAAATATAANAGTTGTGAGTGTTCCAAATTATTGCATTTCCTTTACGAATGGAATTGACGTGTAAACAAATATAGGCCCACGAATAATTATCGCTTTCGTTACTGCATAGACTTCTATATTCATAAATCATAAACCTATCAATTTAATATTTTATACCCTCTCCGCAAAGTGAAATACTAAAGTATCTGTAAAATAAATATTGATTTTTTTTTTTCTTTATCTATATTAAAAAGAACTGATTATATATATTATATAATACTTAAGCTGGATAGTTAGTCTCTAATAAGAACGTCTTGAAATTAATTCTATCAGAAACCATACTTAAATATCATTGAATTCAGACGTTAAATAGAATTAATATTTAAGAGGTATGATCTTGACAGAAATAATATCAGAAAATCCTAACAGAGAATTAGCATGGAATAAGAATAATGATTGCTGAAAAGCCCAGAAGCAGAAAGAGAGAAGGACAAAAAACAGAAAGATAAGCTTAGGCAAAAGACCACTATGCACAGATTACTTCATTCACTTTTGAACCAAAAAGCTACCCATTTTTTTTTATGAATGATTGCCACATAAATAAAAGCTTTTTGATGTACAATAATTATTTTACTTTATTAAAGTGGCCCTACGGCTATGGGACACTGAAATCAATTATTAACTGGATAGTGTCACTGGAACAGAAACTTCTTGACAAGTTCACCAGCTACCTTTCTTTTGTTAAAGTGCCCCTATATGTGCTATTGACATTGGCAAATGAAAAGATTAAAAGAATAATGCAAACAAAATTCAGTTTCAGGAATATGACTTCTCCCAACAACAAATTTTTCGTTGTTGGAAGTTAGTTTTGATCCAAAATTTTCCCAAGGAGAGCTAGACACACACCTTGGCTGATTTACAAATTCAATTGCTAAACATATTAGGCATATGAAACAAATTCAGAAGAGAATAAGATTGTGGGTTCAGTTACTTCCCGTTGGTATTAGCATGCTTATGGAAAGGCCAAAGATTTACCAGTCGCTCGAGAACCGCTGCACTTTTTGAGAAATAGCCTGAGAATCCTGCAGGGGTTGACGGTGGAGGGAAGTCCTCTGCTGGCATGGCAAATGGGCGAAACATTTTTTCCATTTTCTCTAAGGTAAGATACGCTCCCACTTCTTGCAGCCTCTCTGGACCCATAATTGGTAATGTGTGCTCCTGATGCAATGAAGCAGCTTCACTGTCATTCTTCTGCGAAGTGAAACAAAAAACGGAGGCAAGCTTGTTATACAAGTGAGATCCACTCGGTTAAGCAATTTCATGAGTAGTTTTAAAGTAGTAATCCATCTGATTGGGTTTTTTCACAATAAAAATTTTGATATAAATTGAAAATTCTAATAGGATTTAGATAAGTTTGTATAATGTTGTTCACATAGGTTTCCCAAAAAAAAAAAAAAAATTTAATTAATTGGATTTCTCTCTATTATAACTGAAATGCATTACCTCCAAAGGGGATAAATCAGCCCCACGGCTGAAGGTCAACTCGATGCGGAACCTTTTAGGGTCTTCTAATGGTACCTGCAATTCAAATTCAGAAACACAACAGCTTCAGAAAAATAATTTCATAAATTCTAGTTTTCCAAGACGGATCTGATGTATCATAATACCTTTACTATTTGTCCCTAAAAGTTGCTAAAAATCTAGATCGTCGTTAATTCACAGTATTTACTCAAAGACTGATTATAACAAAATGGCCAAGAGATTATATGGTGTCTTTGATTTTAAAAGCTGCAGTCCAACAAGACTCCAAATCAAACCAACCAAGGCCCAGTTCACCAGTCTGACTGAGCAGTCTAAACTGGCTCCATGAAGCCTGTTTTCACAATTGACCTTGCAGTATTTAAAAGGGCATGCTATTAATAAACTAGAAATACCTACCGAAGAAAGCTCTCTCAAAAGAGAATACTTACCGCTGTATTTTCAAACATCCTCAGCACAATATAGCTCATGTAGTCAAGCTCCTTAGTTTTACACAAACGCTCCAAAGCACTATGACATACAAGACTTTCCTCTCCCTGAAGAGATTCATCCAGATTACAGTAGCGAAGAACATTCATGAGAGAATGGATATGTGATTCCTGTCATTCAAATTTAGGCCAATTAAACATCATGAGAATGTTCGACATCAAATAATTGAAAAGACGAAACTGATCATCTCTAGAAATATAAAAGGTCAAATATGTAAATCTTCGGCATATTATACTCACTGATGTAAAGTAAAGACGTGTCCGAACATGGCGTTCAGGTGTTCTGACATTAGCATACCTGACAAACAGAAAGGAAAGCATAAGATGGCAAACTTTACAACAGGGAATGAAATATAATTTGAGAGGTTCAATTATTTACTTTGGATCCAAACGGTATTTGATCTCCTTATCATCATCGTCATCTTGATCCATTGACTTTTCACTAGTGGTACTAGTTCTTCTCGTGTCATCATTTTTGGTAAAATGCTTTGAAAGATAATCTGTATCTTCCTTTTCAGTCTTAGAAATCGTCACACCTTGCTCTTGATTACTCTTCAATTCAGCAACACCAATTGCTTCTTCACGAGTATTCCTCAGATCAATCAAAATTTTCCCCAACAAACGACGAGCAATCTGAATCACAGCAAAATAATAATTCATAATCTTCAGTTATTCAATAATATAATTTGGATCTACCGTCTACTGGCATATGAAGAGGCAAAAACAACATACTCAAAAAGATATGAAACAATAATAAGCAAAGTATGGAAGGGAAACAGAACCTATAAACACAAAAGTAGCTTCGAGTGCCAAGTCTTCCCTAAGTATCAAAGCATGACTTCTGTTATGCTTTTAGGTTTAAATTTGGTCTATGTTTTCTAAGAGCTTTATAGACTTCATAGAATTTTCGAGTCTATTTATGAAAAAACAATCACATGATCTTGACATGTTTCTAGAATAGTCCAGTACCAAATTGATTAACTTTTTGTTTGCCCAAGAATAAGATCGTATAAATCTTTGAAAGATCATCAATATATGTAATCTCCAGAGTATTAAACAAAATGGCATTATCAAAACTTTGAAAATCAGTTACATAATCTCCAATTTCACCTTGTCATATCCTTTATCCTACCACTGTAAAAGTATTACCGAATATACATCCAAATTGTTTGTAAATATTATTACCTACATGGATATAAACTAGCTAAAAGAAAACTAACACACAATTTCTTTTGTAGGAAAAACATCAATTGTGTTCAGCTCCTATAGTTTTTATTCTTAATATTCTTGGCTAATAAATTAAAGAACCCCATGCTAAGGAAAGATCAGTGATCAAATAATATGCCAGTTTCATCAAGAACCTTTTCAGTAAATAGGAATTTTGTAGGAAGCCAAATGAGGATATCAGATCAAACTAATTATTCTAAAAGTAGAGAGGGAGATATGCAACAGTTTAGAGTTCACCTTTGAACCAATCTTCAGTTTCTGCTTTGGATTAATTCCATACTCATTTGGGATGACCCCATCAGCAAGTAACTGCATTTACAATATCCAGATATTAAGACAAGTTCTGACAATGACCCCCTGTCCCAGTATGTGCAAAATACAAGAGGGGTTTAGCTTCTTAGAATTTGTACTTGAGAGAAATGGTTTCTCACTCCAGAGTAAAGAGACAATTTATTTTCTAGACTGTAAGGCACAGTCATGAAAAGTGATACAGGAAAGATTACACTTGCATAAAAGTACCCCCATAGAGTTATGGTTGTGGGTTCGACATACCTGCCTTACTATATCATAACAAATGGAAGTATCATGCAATACTATTTCGATAAAATTGATGATGCAAGAGAGATAAAGATGCAGATAATCTCCCCTTAAAGATCAATTTAAAAGAACAGTTAATTCTGTTTGTACCTGAGCAACTTTGAAGAGTTCATCCAATCCTTCTAGGTTAAGGTGAGCATTATGCAACAGATCATATCTGTCAAAGAAAAGTAAAAGAAAACACAAAGTCTAAGGGTTATGATAGAATTGGCGAAAGTTTTAAGGACCAAGGATCTTTTATACTATTGGCATGCAGTAAAAAAATTGTGGTCAGGTTAATCTTTTGTAGCAGACAAACTAAGTAGTATATTCTGCTAACTTACTGTCACAAAATGAGAAAGGATGACTTACTTGCAAGAGTCGTAAACATCTGGAATTTGTGTTATGTCAAACCGGCTGCATGTAAATCCAATGGTCAGTATTACTAAAAGAACACTGACCCTTAGAGCTAAGACTACACACTAACACAGCACAAGTGTCTAGAATGACAATTTTCAAACGGCTTTAAATCAAATAACACGATTCACACCATTGTGGGAAAGGAAATACAACATAAGCAACCAGCAGAAGACAAACAATCCTATCCAGGCATAATTGCAGTGAACAAATAAGAACTTACACTTTCCGTTCATTATACAAGTCCCTTTCAAGTTTTCTCCACCGAGCATACATCAAAAGGAATCCCTCACTACCACAAGGTAATCCGGCAGCAATACGATCAACATCAATATTTGTCTTACCAAGGGCCCTGGCTTGGTCATAAGGAGGAATGACATCATATGCACTTGTCTCAGCAAGATTCTCATCTTCATCCTTGGCAAGCAATCTTACTTGTTCCGTGACCTTCTTAGTCAATTTTACCTATTTATGACAAGAAAAGGGAGTATGATAAATTTGGACCGATCTTCCCCACTTGGAAAATGAAAAATACATTATGGAGATTTGATAACAAAAGTGAATTAGTTGCAGCAGAGTCAAGCAAACACAATGATAAAAAAAATTTCTTTCTTTTATATTTGCATATTTCTAACTGAATTATTCAACCCAAAAACAAATGCTAAAAGCACACTGCAGTGTCCATAAAAGACTCCAGTAGCAGCAACCCTTCAAAGCATCAAACTAAAAATCTAATTAGTCAACTGGCACACATAAGTTGGTCATCTCCTCCCAGCAAATCAATCTTGGGAATTCATATTTAATTGTGCAATTGCTCATTTAAGGCTATAGCAAACATAAAATGCTACATGAAAAAATGAGAATCAGATTACTCAATCTGCAATCACTGCATTGTGGATGTCTTCATCTTGATAGTTCAAGAATTATACATGCAAAAATCAGACACTCGATTTATCACATATAACTTAATTTTTAATGGAACCACTTTTTGCTTTTGGCATAGATTACATCAACCAACAAAAAAATCTGGTACAAATGTAAAATAAAAAAAAATCTGGTGAAACATTGAGACTCCATCAAAGATTAAGTCAAATCCACTGATAAAGCAAGCCAGCCAAGCAATGCAATAATGAACATAGCAATAGTAGAAATAAATAAAACAAAAATGTAAACAATAAAGCAATAAATGCCTTGGGGCCTTGGGCCTCATCTTATGTTGCTTAAAGAAAGTGCATTTGTTTACCTAATACAGGCGGCATATTTGAAGGTGGGAAGAATGAGCAATTAAGAGTATAATATTGAACTTAAAAAAAATGTAGTTACCAGTTTGGGTAACAGTTCAGAAGCATTATGGGGAAGTCCAACTCCATCGGCCATCCACGGGAATTCAGATGATCCATTGCTATGACTTTTCTTTGACCCATTAATAATAATATCATTCAACCTAGCCTGCAAAGAGCTTAAATTTTAGAAGGTAAAAACTAAAAACATTTATAAACAAATTAAATTAAATAAAAAAGATCTATCATCAGAACAGCATTCCAAAACTTCAGTAAATGCTTAAAAATAAAAAACTCGTGAGTACACATTCATGTCTCTCAGAAGCCAATAGTATCCTACAGCCCAAGCTCAAAGTTATCAAGTGATATGTGATATTTAACCTACTTTGCTACAATGAGAGTAGCATTGGTCTATTGTTCATGCTTAAATGTATCTTAAATGTATCCATACATAAATAAACATGTAATACTCAGCAACAGCATGCATGTATGTAGCTAACAGAACCATAAAATATGCCTCACTCTTTTGAATATATTCTTAAACCCAAAACAAAAGAAGAAATGACTGCACAGAGCACCCATTAAACCTAGAATTTCAATTTCTTGAGCATTGGCATATGATATATGAAATAATGCATAAATCAAGTCAAGGAGATAGATAGACCTTGGCTTCTTCCATCTCACTGCTAGCGTTATCAAGTCCATCCAACATAGAGGAGTCCTTGCTAACGAGGGAAACCTTGAAAAAGATGAAAAATTCAGTGATATACATAAAATGTCAAGCAACAGTAAAAAAATCTATCAAGAGGTAAGAGTACATACCAGGATTGGCGTCAACTGTCCTTCAAGGTCAAGGAGGCCTTTGGCGAATGCAGCTGCCGACATCTGTCAACAAATACCTTCTTTATGATGTAACTTATTAAAGATGTCAAAGACATATTTAGCAATTTAATACTTTAAACATGAAGGCACCAAAGACTAAATTCTATAATTTTATTTGCATTACTAAAGCATTACCTGTACACGACCCTCATCAGAGCTGTAAATTTTAAGATCATGTCTATATGTGCTGTGGAGGCGCAGGAGACCAGTACCTTCACCTGAAATCATATAACACCTCATCAAGAAAAGCACAGAAAGACATCAATACCTGATATTATATCAGAACTCACCAATGGTGGTTTATTCTTCAATTATAGCTAAACGTTGGAGAGAATAACTAAGTCAACTTAGGACATGATTATGTCTAAACAAATATGAATTTACAAATATTTACAACAGGATCCATTATTCTGACCTGGATACATATTATTTCGGAAAAATCTACCCAGCTCTTCTGCCTGCATCAAATGGTCGCATGAAAAAAAAAAATCAAAGAAAGCTTTTAGAAATCTACTGAAATGTAGGAGAACTAAATATGTCTTCCAGAAAATAATTTCTGCAAGAATATACTTCTCAGCAGTATCACCATCAAACTTTAATTATATATGCAAATACAAATTATATGTATCCATGAGACTAATAATCAACACCTGCTTTCTGCCAGCATGTGTAAGTACACCTCCATATTTAAGAACCATCAGAGCTTCCACTGGCCGCTCTTCCTCACCTTCACCATTAATTTTAGCAACTTTGACCCATTTTAGCGGCTTTAGTTGAACTTTCCTATAAATGCCAGAAAAATGCCCACCCTGCACAGCAAAATATTTTCAAAGTGACACATAGCAAACCATGGTTCAGGACAAATTAATTGTATCCTTATGATAATGACAGTATTATCTGGAATAAAATTCATTTAAAAAGTAATGAATTCACTTTACACACCTTGCAAACTAACCATTACTGCCCTAATTTTAAAATCAATCATATATAAAGCTCCAAGAGAAACTAACCTCTTCAAGCACTGCTTTAACTTGACGAAGCTTTTCAGCATGCTCTATGTCTTCTGCCTCACTGTCACTTTCACGACCTGGTCTACATGATACAAATAATCATTATTAAATCACCAACGCTGTTTCAGAATCAGTACACAAACTTTTAGAATCTAATTTATAGTATGACAATTACAAGTAAGAATGTATTTATATCAGTATAGATGCATGTCTCTCAAGTTAAAACCAACAAATTGAATCTTTTTATCATTAATCACCAAACTAATTGACAAGTACAGCTTGTTAGAACTAAACCATTTATCAGGATTCATTTGAACTCCTCAATAGTATGAATAGGGCCAACTTCAAATATTTATTTAAGCAAACCCAAGTTTGAGCGGCTTCATTCTTTAGTTAGCTTGGTTCTCTGACATCTCAAGCCATACATTAAAGCATCGCTAGGAAAATTTACTTTTAGACGGTGGTGGTGAAGGTAAATTGCATATAATGTGCCAGCATCAACTGTCTTTACACATTAAATGAGTAAATTATCACATATGAAATGAAACCTTGAACGAGGTACAAGCATTCTTGTGGCATCTAACAGATCTTGTAACTGGACAGCACTTTTAAGTTTTGTCTGCAAGAAAGATACCCATGAAATGTCAGAAATCATTGAATTTATAGATAACTGCATAAATGAATTTTTTTTTTTTTTTTTCAAAGCCTCTAGGGTAAGGTGAGCATTATGCAAGAGATCATATCTGTCAAAGAAAAGTAAAAGAAAACACAAAGTCTAAGGGTTATGATAGAATTGGCGAAAGTTTTAAGGACCAAGGATCTTTTATACTATTGGCATGCAGTAAAAAAATCTGTGGTCAGGTTAATCTTTTGTAGCAGACAAACTAAGTAGTATATTCGCTAACTTACTGTCAAAAATGAGAAAGGATGACTTACTTGCAAGAGGTCGTAAACATCTGGAATTTGTGTTATGTCAAACCGGCTGCATGTAAATCCAATGGTCAGTATTATAAAGAACACAACCCTTAGGCTAAGAATACACACTAACACAGCACAGGTGTCAGAATGACAATTTTCAAACGGCTTTAAATCAAATAACACGATTCACACCATTGTGGGAAAGGAATACAACATAAGCAATCAGCAGAAGACAAACAATCCTATCCAGGCATAATTGCAGTGAACAAATAAGAACTTACACTTTCCGTTCATTATACAAGTCCCTTTCAAGTTTTCTCCACCGAGCATACATCAAAAGGAATCCCTCACTACCACAAGGTAATCCGGCAGCAATACGATCAACATCAATATTTGTCTTACCAAGGGCCCTGGCTTGGTCATAAGGAGGAATGACATCATATGACTTGTCTCAGTAGATTCTCATCTTCATCCTTGGCAAGCAATCTTACTTGTTCCGTGACCTTCTTAGTCAATTTTACCTATTTATGACAAGAAAAGGGGTATGATAAATTTGGACCGATCTTCCCCACGTGAAAATGAAAAATACATTATGGAGATTTGATAACAAAAGTGAATTAGTTGCAGCAGAGTCAAGCAAACACAATGATAAAAAAAATTTCTTCTTTTTATTTGCATATTTCTAACTGAATTATTCAACCAAAAACAAATGCTAAAAGCACACTGCAGTGTCCATAAAAGAATCCAGTAGCAGCAACCTTCAAAGCATCAAACTAAAAATCTAATTAGTCAACTGACACATAAGTTGGTCATCTCTTCCAGAATCAATCTTGGGAATTCATATTTAATTGTGCAATTGCTCATTAAGGCTTAGCAAACATAAATGCTACATGAAAAAATGAGAATCAGATTACTCAATCTGCAATCACTGCCTTGTGGTGTCTTCATCTTGATAGTTCAAGAATTATACATGCAAAAATCAGACACTCATTTATCACATATAACTTAATTTTTAATGGAACCATTTTTGCTTTTTGCATAGATTACATCAACCAACAAAAAAATCTGGTACAAATGTAATATAAAAAAAAAATGGTGAAACATTGAGACTCCATCAAAGATTAAGTCAAATCCACTGATAAAGCCAGCCAGCCAAGCAATGCAATAATGAACATAGCAATAGTAGAAATAAATAAAACAAAAATGTAAACAATAAAGCAATAAATGCCTTGGGGCCTTGGGCCATCTTATGTAGTCATATGTTTAAAGAAAGTGCATGTTACCTAATACAGGCGGCATATTGAAGGTGGAAGAATGAGCAATTAAGAGTATATATTGAACTTAAAAAAAATGTAGTACAGTTTGGGTAACAGTTCAGAAGCATTATGGGGAAGTCCAACCCATCATTGGATTTCTCTCTATTATAACTGAAATGCATTACCTCCAAAGGGGATAAATCAGCCCCACGGCTGAAGGTCAACTCGATGCGGAACCTTTTAGGGTCTTCTAATGGTACCTGCAATTCAAATTCAGAAACACAACAGCTTCAGAAAAATAATTTCATAAATTCTAGTTTTCCAAGACGGATCTGATGTATCATAATACCTTTACTATTTGTCCCTAAAAGTTGCTAAAAATCTAGATCGTCGTTAATTCACAGTATTTACTCAAAGACTGATTATAACAAAATGGCCAAGAGATTATATGGTGTCTTTGATTTTAAAAGCTTCAGTCCAACAAGACTCCAAATCAAACCAACCAAGGCCCAGTTCACCAGTCTGACTGAGCAGTCTAAACTGGCTCCATGAAGACCGTTTTCACAATTGACCTTGCAGTATTTAAAAGGGCATGCTATTAATAAACTAGAAATACCTACCGAAGAAAGCTCTCTCAAAAGAGAATACTTACCGCTGTATTTTCAAACATCCTCAGCACAATATAGCTCATGTAGTCAAGCTCCTTAGTTTTACACAAACGCTCCAAAGCACTATGACATACAAGACTTTCCTCTCCCTGAAGAGATTCATCCAGATTACAGTAGCGAAGAACATTCATGAGAGAATGGATATGTGATTCCTGTCATTCAAATTTAGGCCAATTAAACATCATGAGAATGTTCGACATCAAATAATTGAAAAGACGAAACTGATCATCTCTAGAAATATAAAAGGTCAAATATGTAAATCTTCGGCATATTATACTCACTGATGTAAAGTAAAGACGTGTCCGAACATGGCGTTCAGGTGTTCTGACATTAGCATACCTGACAAACAGAAAGGAAAGCATAAGATGGCAAACTTTACAACAGGGAATGAAATATAATTTGAGAGGTTCAATTATTTACTTTGGATCCAAACGGTATTTGATCTCCTTATCATCATCGTCATCTTGATCCATTGACTTTTCACTAGTGGTACTAGTTCTTCTCGTGTCATCATTTTTGGTAAAATGCTTTGAAAGATAATCTGTATCTTCCTTTTCAGTCTTAGAAATCGTCACACCTTGCTCTTGATTACTCTTCAATTCAGCAACACCAATTGCTTCTTCACGAGTATTCCTCAGATCAATCAAAATTTTCCCCAACAAACGACGAGCAATCTGAATCACAGCAAAATAATAATTCATAATCTTCAGTTATTCAATAATATAATTTGGATCTACCGTCTACTGGCATATGAAGAGGCAAAAACAACATACTCAAAAAGATATGAAACAATAATAAGCAAAGTATGGAAGGGAAACAGAACCTATAAACACAAAAGTAGCTTCGAGTGCCAAGTCTTCCCTAAGTATCAAAGCATGACTTCTGTTATGCTTTTAGGTTTAAATTTGGTCTATGTTTTCTAAGAGCTTTATAGACTTCATAGAATTTTCGAGTCTATTTATGAAAAAACAATCACATGATCTTGACATGTTTCTAGAATAGTCCAGTACCAAATTGATTAACTTTTTGTTTGCCCAAGAATAAGATCGTATAAATCTTTGAAAGATCATCAATATATGTAATCTCCAGAGTATTAAACAAAATGGCATTATCAAAACTTTGAAAATCAGTTACATAATCTCCAATTTCACCTTGTCATATCCTTTATCCTACCACTGTAAAAGTATTACCGAATATACATCCAAATTGTTTGTAAATATTATTACCTACATGGATATAAACTAGCTAAAAGAAAACTAACACACAATTTCTTTTGTAGGAAAAACATCAATTGTGTTCAGCTCCTATAGTTTTTATTCTTAATATTCTTGGCTAATAAATTAAAGAACCCCATGCTAAGGAAAGATCAGTGATCAAATAATATGCCAGTTTCATCAAGAACCTTTTCAGTAAATAGGAATTTTGTAGGAAGCCAAATGAGGATATCAGATCAAACTAATTATTCTAAAAGTAGAGAGGGAGATATGCAACAGTTTAGAGTTCACCTTTGAACCAATCTTCAGTTTCTGCTTTGGATTAATTCCATACTCATTTGGGATGACCCCATCAGCAAGTAACTGCATTTACAATATCCAGATATTAAGACAAGTTCTGACAATGACCCCCTGTCCCAGTATGTGCAAAATACAAGAGGGGTTTAGCTTCTTAGAATTTGTACTTGAGAGAAATGGTTTCTCACTCCAGAGTAAAGAGACAATTTATTTTCTAGACTGTAAGGCACAGTCATGAAAAGTGATACAGGAAAGATTACACTTGCATAAAAGTACCCCCATAGAGTTATGGTTGTGGGTTCGACATACCTGCCTTACTATATCATAACAAATGGAAGTATCATGCAATACTATTTCGATAAAATTGATGATGCAAGAGAGATAAAGATGCAGATAATCTCCCCTTAAAGATCAATTTAAAAGAACAGTTAATTCTGTTTGTACCTGAGCAACTTTGAAGAGTTCATCCAATCCTTCTAGGTTAAGGTGAGCATTATGCAACAGATCATATCTGTCAAAGAAAAGTAAAAGAAAACACAAAGTCTAAGGGTTATGATAGAATTGGCGAAAGTTTTAAGGACCAAGGATCTTTTATACTATTGGCATGCAGTAAAAAAATTGTGGTCAGGTTAATCTTTTGTAGCAGACAAACTAAGTAGTATATTCTGCTAACTTACTGTCACAAAATGAGAAAGGATGACTTACTTGCAAGAGTCGTAAACATCTGGAATTTGTGTTATGTCAAACCGGCTGCATGTAAATCCAATGGTCAGTATTACTAAAAGAACACTGACCCTTAGAGCTAAGACTACACACTAACACAGCACAAGTGTCTAGAATGACAATTTTCAAACGGCTTTAAATCAAATAACACGATTCACACCATTGTGGGAAAGGAAATACAACATAAGCAACCAGCAGAAGACAAACAATCCTATCCAGGCATAATTGCAGTGAACAAATAAGAACTTACACTTTCCGTTCATTATACAAGTCCCTTTCAAGTTTTCTCCACCGAGCATACATCAAAAGGAATCCCTCACTACCACAAGGTAATCCGGCAGCAATACGATCAACATCAATATTTGTCTTACCAAGGGCCCTGGCTTGGTCATAAGGAGGAATGACATCATATGCACTTGTCTCAGCAAGATTCTCATCTTCATCCTTGGCAAGCAATCTTACTTGTTCCGTGACCTTCTTAGTCAATTTTACCTATTTATGACAAGAAAAGGGAGTATGATAAATTTGGACCGATCTTCCCCACTTGGAAAATGAAAAATACATTATGGAGATTTGATAACAAAAGTGAATTAGTTGCAGCAGAGTCAAGCAAACACAATGATAAAAAAAATTTCTTTCTTTTATATTTGCATATTTCTAACTGAATTATTCAACCCAAAAACAAATGCTAAAAGCACACTGCAGTGTCCATAAAAGACTCCAGTAGCAGCAACCCTTCAAAGCATCAAACTAAAAATCTAATTAGTCAACTGGCACACATAAGTTGGTCATCTCCTCCCAGCAAATCAATCTTGGGAATTCATATTTAATTGTGCAATTGCTCATTTAAGGCTATAGCAAACATAAAATGCTACATGAAAAAATGAGAATCAGATTACTCAATCTGCAATCACTGCATTGTGGATGTCTTCATCTTGATAGTTCAAGAATTATACATGCAAAAATCAGACACTCGATTTATCACATATAACTTAATTTTTAATGGAACCACTTTTTGCTTTTGGCATAGATTACATCAACCAACAAAAAAATCTGGTACAAATGTAAAATAAAAAAAAATCTGGTGAAACATTGAGACTCCATCAAAGATTAAGTCAAATCCACTGATAAAGCAAGCCAGCCAAGCAATGCAATAATGAACATAGCAATAGTAGAAATAAATAAAACAAAAATGTAAACAATAAAGCAATAAATGCATTGGGGCCTTGGGCCTCATCTTATGTTGCTTAAAGAAAGTGCATTTGTTTACCTAATACAGGCGGCATATTTGAAGGTGGGAAGAATGAGCAATTAAGAGTATAATATTGAACTTAAAAAAAATGTAGTTACCAGTTTGGGTAACAGTTCAGAAGCATTATGGGGAAGTCCAACTCCATCGGCCATCCACGGGAATTCAGATGATCCATTCCTATGACTTTTATTTGACCCATTAATAATAATATCATTCAACCTAGCCTGCAAAGAGCTTAAATTTTAGAAGGTAAAAACTAAAAACATTTATAAACAAATTAAATTAAATAAAAAAGATCTATCATCAGAACAGCATTCCAAAACTTCAGTAAATGCTTAAAAATAAAAAACTCGTGAGTACACATTCATGTCTCTCAGAAGCCAATAGTATCCTACAGCCCAAGCTCAAAGTTATCAAGTGATATGTGATATTTAACCTACTTTGCTACAATGAGAGTAGCATTGGTCTATTGTTCATGCTTAAATGTATCCATGCATAAATAAACATATAATACTCAGTAATAGCATGCATGTATGTAGCTAACAGAACCATAAAATATGCCTCACTCTTTTGAATATATTCTTAAACCCAAAACAAAAGAAGAAATGACTGCACAGAGCACCCATTAAACCTAGAATTTCAATTTCTTGAGCATTGGCATATGATATATGAAATAATGCATAAATCAAGTCAAGGAGATAGATAGACCTTGGCTTCTTCCATCTCACTGCTAGCGTTATCAAGTCCATCCAACATAGAGGAGTCCTTGCTAACGAGGGAAACCTTGAAAAAGATGAAAAATTCAGTGATATACATAAAATGTCAAGCAACAGTAAAAAAATCTATCAAGAGGTAAGAGTACATACCAGGATTGGCGTCAACTGTCCTTCAAGGTCAAGGAGGCCTTTGGCGAATGCAGCTGCCGACATCTGTCAACAAATACCTTCTTTATGATGTAACTTATTAAAGATGTCAAAGACATATTTAGCAATTTAATACTTTAAACATGAAGGCACCAAAGACTAAATTCTATAATTTTATTTGCATTACTAAAGCATTACCTGTACACGACCCTCATCAGAGCTGTAAATTTTAAGATCATGTCTATATGTGCTATGGAGGCGCAGGAGACCAGTACCTTCACCTGAAATCATATAACACCTCATCAAGAAAAGCACAGAAAGACATCAATACCTGATATTATATCAGAACTCACAAATGGTGGTTTATTCTTCAATTATAGCTAAACGTTGGAGGGAATAACTAAGTCAACTTAGGACATGATTATGTCTAAACAAATATGAATTTACAAATATTTACAACAGGATCCATTATTCTGACCTGGATACATATTATTTCGGAAAAATCTACCCAGCTCTTCTGCCTGCATCAAATGGTCGCATGAAAAAAAAAAATCAAAGAAAGCTTTTAGAAATCTACTGAAATGTAGGAGAACTAAATATGTCTTCCAGAAAATAATTTCTGCAAGAATATACTTCTCAGCAGTATCACCATCAAACTTTAATTATATATGCAAATACAAATTATATGTATCCATGAGACTAATAATCAACACCTGCTTTCTGCCAGCATGTGTAAGTACACCTCCATATTTAAGAACCATCAGAGCTTCCACTGGCCGCTCTTCCTCACCTTCACCATTAATTTTAGCAACTTTGACCCATTTTAGCGGCTTTAGTTGAACTTTCCTATAAATGCCAGAAAAATGCCCACCCTGCACAGCAAAATATTTTCAAAGTGACACATAGCAAACCATGGTTCAGGACAAATTAATTGTATCCTTATGATAATGACAGTATTATCTGGAATAAAATTCATTTAAAAAGTAATGAATTCACTTTACACACCTTGCAAACTAACCATTACTGCCCTAATTTTAAAATCAATCATATATAAAGCTCCAAGAGAAACTAACCTCTTCAAGCACTGCTTTAACTTGACGAAGCTTTTCAGCATGCTCTATGTCTTCTGCCTCACTGTCACTTTCACGACCTGGTCTACATGATACAAATAATCATTATTAAATCACCAACGCTGTTTCAGAATCAGTACACAAACTTTTAGAATCTAATTTATAGTATGACAATTACAAGTAAGAATGTATTTATATCAGTATAGATGCATGTCTCTCAAGTTAAAACCAACAAATTGAATCTTTTTATCATTAATCACCAAACTAATTGACAAGTACAGCTTGTTAGAACTAAACCATTTATCAGGATTCATTTGAACTCCTCAATAGTATGAATAGGGCTAACTTCAAATATTTATTTAAGCAAACCCACGTTTGAGTGGCTTCATTCTTTAGTTAGCTTGGTTCTCTGACATCTCAAGCCATACATTAAAGCATCGCTAGGAAAATTTACTTTTAGACGGTGGTGGTGAAGGTAAATTGCATATAATGTGCCAGCATCAACTGTCATTACACATTAAATGAGTAAATTATCACATATGAAATGAAACCTTGAACGAGGTACAAGCATTCTTGTGGCATCTAACAGATCTTGTAACTGGACAGCACTTTTAAGTTTTGTCTGCAAGAAAGATACCCATGAAATGTCAGAAATCATTGAATTTATAGATAACTGCATAAATGAATTTTTTTTTTTTTTTTTCCTTTTTTATTTAATTCTTCCAATACAAGTAACAAAATATTCACCTCGGATCTAGGACGCCCTCCATTGTACTTTAACATCAAGTTCAGCAGTCTTTCCTCTGTAACTTTCAACTTCACCTTCTGCTTGGGTGTTCTATCACCACTGCCCATATAAAATAGAACTAAGAAGTGGAGAAAGTTTTCTACTAGATCAGGTATACAAAAGGAAATACTATAACGTACTGGCGCATAACAACAATCACACAACGTAGTTCCTCAGACTGCCCAAATGTGCCGAGTCCACTTCCCTGACGAGTTAGTCCCTCAGAAGGCTGGACTGGTTCATTGACTTTCCATGGTAAGATAGGTGGAATTGCTGCAGAGAGATGAGGAGCTTTCGCATCTATAAACATCTTCCTTAGCACACAAGCAGCATCATCATAATACCTGTGTTCAGAAAGAGAAACCATATTTACTTGCTTATCAAAGAAACATGAGAAACTGTGCATGTGAGTACAAACACTTAGCTTAGCTGGTAAGGTCTCTCAAGATTGCACAAGAGATTTGGGGATCTAACAACTCACATTAGCTTAGCCATACTTTTACCTTTCAAGTCATCATGAAGATCAGTCAATTTCATGGGTTGACATTAGAAATATTTGCATGAAGAAGTTAGAAATCCCTATTTTCTTTTCTCTGCTTTTCTTTACGCCTTTTCTCTCTTTCTCTCTCTCTCCCCCCTCTACTTTATTTCTTGCCTTCTGCAACATCTATCTTTCTGATCAATCGGTCCCTAATCTCACTTCTTCTGTTCTTTTCCTTCTTATCCATGTATATATCTTCTATTATTATTCTCTTTTTCTTCTTCAATTTTATCATTCAGTTCTCTATTTTTTCTTTCAAATTTCAACTCTCTTTTCCTTCTCCTTACTATTTCAGTTGGTTTCTGCTATAGTCCCACATCATCAGACAAGGAAAGTCACGGATATATTTCTTTTTTCCCACTTAGGAAAGGGGATGATGTGAAAGGTATTAAATCTAAATGGACTAATGAGGATAATAAATATTGTATCTCCAAATGTGTGTATATGTACACATAAGGTTTAATTTTGCTACTCTACCTTAAAAACAAAAACAGTTAATAAAAGGACAAGTACCACCAAAAAGTAATTACACAACAAAATAAATTCACAAAGCATTACTTGTAAGAGTTCTTAACAAAGCTCCACCCATTTACATCACAAACATAAGAGCGCCCCTCACAACGCAAGAGATCAAACCCACAAACCTGTACACAACAAGAACTTAAAGAAACAGTTTGAAGAATAACTATTCTGTGTGTAATTATGAAATTCCTTACTACAGATTGTATGTAAAAGCATTCATATGTGTTATGTAGCCATATATTCCTTAACAGCCAGAAGGAATAGAATGATGCAATTATACAACAAATGCAACACCACTCTGAACAAAACCCATAATAATTTTATCAAATCTGCATTACCCACTTTCCCATTGGGCTCATTGAAAGTAAGTTTCTGGGGTTTAAAGACAATTAAAAAATAAAACCTCCAATGATATTACAAAAATTGTTAAAAAAACAAGTTAAAATGACAGAACCTCAAAAACCAGCATAGCAAAGCATATCCTAAACGAAAAGCTGCAGACAATAGCTCAAGAAGCTAACATTCAAATAAAAAGGATTGACAGAAGTCAAAAAGAAGAAGACATTGTGAAAGTAAACAATCTAATGATCTCTAGCTACGTTCATTAGCCAAAGAAGTATTATCCAATACAATTAATATAATGATAAATGAATAAAAACTCATTGATATACTATGCCTATCAATCATTTAAGAGAAATATTGGAAGTTAATCATACCACAAGCAAGAAAATAGAACCAGAGTCCAGTATTAAAAGAATAACACATTGAAATGTGGAGAAACAGAATTGTACACTTGTTAACATATTTACATACCACTTGCCTAAATGCCATGCAAACCTCTCTAGCCATCTGCTTCTCATTAGGTGTCAGTAATACAGGATACCTCACCTGCCAAAAGAAACAATAACAAAAATAAATTTCAAATACCATACTGTTCAACAATTACCTGTAGGAGAAAGAAAGCCTTGGTACTAATTGATACAGGACACAAAAAAGGGAAAAAAAATGACTGTAGGCAAGAGAGAGAAAAAGAGAGAAACACAAAATAAAGACTGATAAAAGGAGAAATGAACAGATATCACAGAGAATGCAAGCTAAGAAATAGAAATGAGAATTCCAAGAGGAGGCAGACATACTATGATACAAAGGACCAGTGTTTTTTATTCCAAAATCAATCATATGCTCTGCTAAGAAAAGTAGATCAAAACCTATTTATAGTGGCAAACAAAAAAAATTAATCTACTTCAAATAAGAAAACCAAATCTATTCAAATAGTTAAAGTCCCTAGACACACTAAAAGTTAAAAATGTTTCCTAAATTATAATCCTTAGTTTCTGGTTGAGCATCATTCCCTGCAACAGCGTGTATTAGTTTGCACGGCACCTTTCATGCTTGGTGCTTATTGTGTATGAATACTAGAAATTAATTATTTAAGTACACTGAAAACAAAAATATTTCTTGATTCTAAAGTGTGGACAAGGTACAAACTCACACAATGGTAAGTGCCCAGAAAACATGAAAAAATGACAAGAAGCTAAAGAACAGAGCATTCAAATTTTGGGTTTACACATGAGGAATAGAACGCAAGGATGAAGAAAAGACAAAAAAGAGAAGAGGATGCATAATCTCATAAGCCATTTATGTGGTGTGCAATACTTACTTCCTTGCCATCAGGATTTCTCATAACAACGCCATCAACAACAGGAGACTTCCTTGCCTCAGCATGAGCATATTCAGGGCCAACTGTGTACACCTATATTATTCGACAAAGACTCAAAAAAATCAATTGCAGAAAATCGAAGTAGAACAACTAAATTGATTACATAGATTAGAGTGCATGCAGTTATGACAGACATGAAATAATTTCAGATTTAATGGAATGAACACTAAGAACTGAAACAACATATTAGAACAACAAAGAATAAAGCTACAATTCACCAAGACCATTTACAGTGAGCAGAATATCCCAAAAATTTTACATAGCAAGAGCATCATAACAAGAACCAAATATCTAGTCGGCAAAGCAGTGGGAAACCTCCTTATAAGAAGGCATTACACCATACACATGTTAGATTTTGTCCTTCTTCATTTTCTTCTTTTTTTTTTTTTTTTTTTTTTTTTTTTTTTGGGTGTGTGGGGCCTTGCTCTTCTTAGTTATCTATACCTTTACTAAAAATTAAGCATGGTTCAGCTGCCATCCAGAGTAAAATTAATTACGATCAAAATCAGCACCACTAACAAAAACACTACTGAAAATGCCATTGCGATCTGAATTTAGTATTGATTTTATGTCAAGTTAAAAAGATTTTGATATAATAATTCTAACTTGCATTTCCATTTCATGATTTATTTCCAACAAACTAACTTCTATTTGTTTTAATAATTTTTTATCCAAAATGTAAAAGTCATTAGCAAGGGAAATTTTTCTTCGTTTAACAGGATATACAAATCCTTAATATTCTGTTCCCTAAATTCTCAATATGAATATCTGAGTTCTGACCATTACTTGACGCCTCACCATCATTATCTAGATGATAATCTCAATAAACCTACTTTATTCAGTTTCATGCAATATTCAAGTCAATAGCCTAGAAAGATGAAGTAACAAGTTAGAAAAAGATGAAAACTTTTCAGGGCACATGCAATATCCTCAATTGTCAGAAATAACTATCAGTTCAGCAATGACCTAGCTTTCAATAAGCTTTAAAAGAACCAAAACATAAGCTGCCTAGAGTAATAACAAACCCATCCATTGAACATTATATACAACCTTGACATCTGTTCCTCCTGTTGGCATAAATTCCTCATATATATATGAGCCTTCACGCCTCACCCTTCTGACCTCTGGATGGAACTCACTAGACCGGTTTCCAACCTACAATCAGAAAATGATTGCATACAAGAGAAATCATGGACAATAATATAAAATTCATCAGTACATACATAGGAACCATCACAAAAAGCATTGACAAGCTGCTAGGCATGTTAATATGTGATAACTAAATCACAATATAGATGACAGTGTTTCAAAGCATTATCAGAAAAAAGTGGCAAAAGCTAAGCAGGATCCACAAAACAACTCACACCTGCTCAACAGACAGGATTGGGTTAGCTATTTTTATGAGCAGAAGAAGAACTCAAGTCTGGCCTAACTAAAAACAGGTTGCATTCTTAGGCAGCTAGAGCCGATAAGACATCCAAATCATTATTCTTACATAATTTTAATCTATCAAAAATGCCTATATCTTTTGCGTAGAAGAATAACCTAGGCATCAATGATATTAGAATTAGTGCTACAGATGAAATCAAAGCAAGAGCATTTTAAGTACAAACATTACAAACAAATAGCCAATAATTGATGCTCACCTTCCTAAATAATTCCTTCATACCTCCACCAGCTGAGCTTGGATAGTATATCATAATACTATGATCATCCCCTTAACAAAAGCACAAAATGAGTCATTGCCACATATCCACGCTGGAACAGCAAATTTTGAAAAATGAGGCATAAGTTACAAATAGAACAGCTAAATACCTGAATTCATAGCAAATATCATATATTAGGCTCTCTAGTAGCATTTACTAATCAAATTAAGATGTTAAAAGAACCTTTAATACAGAATGAAAAATTAAATTTTGAAATTCCAATGTGAACAGTACATTAATTTGTAACTGCCTGTGTTTATGACTTCACAGTTCTTTAACAATTATTCAATTGCTGCTGTTGAAACTCAAAAACAAGCAAATCCCAAGCTGCATTTGAGTTTTTTAATTTCTTTTTTAATCAAATACGTTTTTCTTACAAGCAATTGAGCAACAAATTTGCAAATAGATAAAATCAAATTCAGAAAAAAGTAAGAATAATAATGGTGTCACCAACATATACATGTATGCTGTGAGGCATTACATACAGTAATGAACAGTTCCATTATCTACCATATAGATACACAATTATTCTTACTCCTCAAGTACCTAGAATGATGCAAATGATGAAGCTGCAAACTAAATCTCACTACCATGACAACTCCAACAAGCCAAATTTTAAATTAATGCATTTTATACAATTCTGAGAGCACAACTCAAGGATCTGTAGATACAAGACGCGTCTGATAGAGGAATCTATCCCAGTTATCAGTCAGAATATTAAGGAGAAGCAACATATAGGCAAAAAGCAAGGGCAAGCTCACCATGAATAGGCTTCTCTACAAACGGCTTCCAGAAGCGATTCCCATGAACCTCAACAAAATCTTCTTCCTCAACAAAAAAATCCAGCTCCTGATATGGTACTTCCCTATTTACAAGGGCGTATCTTGGAACTGGGATTCCAAACATTTCAAGCCGCTGAGATCCCAAAAAAATTACTAGCATATATCATTGGATTGTTCGCACAATGGATACATTACAAAAGTATACTTAACATAGTAAAGTTGTTTTTCTATTTGTAATAAAAGAGGATCTTTGACTAAGAATGGTCAAGGGCTTAACCTCATTCCTCCCCCCACAAAATAAAAAAAAAAAAAAAAAAGGAAAAGAAATTCAGAGACATGCATCTTCAAAGTTTGAACATCATTCTATATATATATATATATATTCCCACAGCATATGGACAAAGACCAATACAAAAAGCTTGATCACCTTAGCATTCAGGTGAAGATAAAAGTTACATTGGACTTGCTTCAATAGGATGCATGATCAGAGAAAAGACACAACCCCTTCAAAAAAGATAGAAAATTGGAATGCATACCTCGTATACCTTCCTTCGGTCATGGAGAAGATGCTGAGGCTCCAATTCATTTACCAAAAAAGGCCTAATATAAGCGTATCACAAGTTTCAAGATAAGTACAAAAGAGAAGTATTCATTACATAACAATCAAATCTTAAGTGAAAATTTAGCTAGAAGGCCATAAAACCAGCGACTTCCATTTAATTATAATAAACGATGCTGAAACAGATTTAAAAGATTGATGCAGCTAAAATGGTAACATTGGAGGATAGGTCATACAAGATTATATATTGATGTGTGTAAGATGGGACAATAAATGCTTCTTTTAATCAAAGAAATTATTTCAGTTAAAGAAAACCAAAGAAACATATCTCAAGTACGCAAAAAATAAAAAAAATAAAAATAAAAGCTAACAACATGCATTATAAGGAAAAAAATAATTTAAAATCAAATCAAAAAGGAAATTCAAAAATGCAGAAAACCATTAAGTTTGGACGTAACCAGAATTAGAACTTACTTTCTTAATGCAGCATATGCCTCGGCCTTTTCAAGGGGATAACCAGATGAATAGAAAGCAATCAAGCAATCACAGATAGGCCAGCTGAAATAAGCAAATATCACAATTTGGTCATCTCCTAGAAGCTAACTATATTCTTAAAATTCTGAAGACTTGCCAGCTAAAACAAATATGTATATGATCAAAATAATACAGTCACCAAGTTAATACCCAGGTTATGTCAACATGTGTATAAGCATGTGTCATAACTTTACCTTTCCTTAATTTATCCCCTCTAACTTGTGCGAATCGCTTTAAAACTATTTATTTTATCGCTTTGACTGTTAGATTTAGACCCAATTCATGCATCAAACAGAGAATTCTTATTCAATAAGAAACTAGAAACCTTTTATTAAAAACGATATAGCTGTCAACCAGGTTTCCATAAAGAAACAAAAAGACTAAGAACTGAGAAACAATTCCATTCAAAACACAATATGAATGCTTATCATCCAAAAAAATAAAAGAAAGCAAGAAATACAAGGAAAAGGAAATTGCTTTTAAACAGTTGCATTTTCTTCGAATATTCATAATACATTATTAAACATAGCAATACAGAGTAACTCTGTTCTTTAGAATGAAAATAGATGTCCAACAATAAGATAAAGCGCTGAAAAATTATAATATTAATAATAGTTACACCAAACAATAAAGCCCAAAAACTTTCATTTGCACAAAAATAAAAATAGTCTTTGACAGCTTTCAGCTAAAAGTATCCATATCTAGCATACACTTTGAATTCATCTTCACAAGCCTCTGTTTCTCAAGCCACATGGTTAAAACTTACAACTTGTCTTAACATATTCCTTCAAAGCTCCAAATCTAGTTTTCCCGCTATAAACAAATTCAAGAACAGATAACCAATAGTTGCTTTCATTAATTCATTAATAATTATTAGTTAAATTCACAAACTCGAAATTCAAAAAATTCAATAAAACAAAGCGACCACCTGAAATCATCATCATTAAACTTAGCGTTTCAGCTAATCATGGGAAATGCATTTACGTTACAAGTTCGTACCTCTCGATCGGATCTTCAAGGATAACCTTATCCCCAAAATGTATGATCTACAACAATAATACAAACGAAAACAAGAGATCAATACGACTACGTATATAAACAAAAACAAGAGAAACCGAAACAGAAAATAACAAACCTCAAATTCACCAAATGCTTGTAATCGTTCGAAAATCTGTCCCATCGGAGCTGAAAACACCTATAAATTCACATCAGATATAACTTGCATCAAATATAAATATATATAAAAACTTTTCTTCGTGTTTGAATTTAATAAACAAAATTTTAAAAAATAAAAAGAGAAAAAGACCTCGCGTCCACATTTCACCTTCTTTTCCATAACACACACACCAATGGTTATTTTCTTATCAACACCTGCGCGTTGAACTCCCATCTTTCTGTCTTGTGTGTGTGTTGTGGTGAAAAAGCGACAGGAGCAGAGTGTCGTTGAAAGCGAATATAAAGAGGATAGGCGAGGCGAGGCGAGGTGAGGAGAGGAGAGGCCGAGAAAAATGGGAAGAACGGAGAAACGGAAATCACGTGCTGGAGTGAGAAGGCAGAAACGGTGAGTTTTGGTGGAGTTGCACTTGCACGAGATTCAGATAAAAGCTGAAAGGAAGACGCATGGCAGCGAAATTTAAAAAACAAAGGAAGAGTGAAAAGAAATAAATTTGTTATTTAAAAGGAGTGTTTGGGGATAAAGATTTTGGATTCGAGAATATGCAAACTGCTGCTGCAAATAGACAAGGACGATGACGTCGAAAGGTCATCATAGTGTTGGGGTTTATTTAGAAAAATATCCATAAGACCCCTTATATTTGTTATCATATCTAAGGTACCGATTTTTATAATTATTGCCAAATTTAGGGATAGAAAGTTAGAAACCGATTATATGGGAATGGAATTGTCCTAAACAAAGGCAGTAACCCAATTGTCATAACTAATGGATTATATAATTTTTTGACTTTAGGTTAAAAAATTTATTTGATGAAAATTTAAACTTTTACATGAATTTAAAACTAATATAAGTGAATCTAAATCTATCAACAATGAAGAAACGAGATACAAAAACTTATTTTATTGATTACGGGCTTGACTTGCAAAAATGACTATTAAAGGGGAAAAGTTAAAACATACCAAGCGATAAACCATATCCTTTGCAAATGACAAAACTAGTGTTATCAAAAAACTTCTAACTTTTACTTAAAGAGTTACTTTCTTTCTAACAAGGAAGACTATAAACATTGTACAACACTCCTCTAATTGCATTTGTCATCTGTATTAGTATAAATAATAAAACTCATCGCATTTTCAAACTCGTTTATATCTTAATTTTGTTTCATTACAATTTGATATACTTCAATCTATAAGATTGATTATTGCATCATCATCCCTACTGATGAATTAATTTTTTGTTGAAAATTTGTACGAGGATTGTTTAAAATGTCAAAATTTAAAGGGTTGTTTATGATATTTATAAAACTTTAGGAAATGAAAGGACATGAAGACAAATTTAAGTGTTTCGGTGCACAGAAATAGAATAAGGTAGTTTGAAAATTCGGTGCCGTTGGTGTCACTTTCAAGAGTTTAGGTTTGAATGAAATGTCGCCATAACAATAGTACCTAATAGATAAGTCACTTAAAATAATGGGACAGTTGATGATTTTTTTATGTTTCGTTAATTATCGGTCCAACATCCTGATTTTTCATCGGAGATGTTTGTAAACTACATTGACTTATAACTTTGACTAGGTCTCCGTTTCATATTACAATTAAAAAAATATATTAAAAATATAATATAGATTGTTTGTATACATTTTAATTAATCATCAAGGTTTATTAAACACTTTACAAAACCTAATGAATCAAGTAAAATATAAATATAATAAATGATTAATTTTGTGAGACTTGAACACAAGACCTCAGAATAACTATTCTAGATGAATAAAGTTTTGTCATCTGAACACAACACTAGTGGTTAAAATATAATCTATTACCTCTATGAATATCTTTACTTTTTAAAAATGGTTGAAATTTTAGATTCTTATATCGAAAAAAAATTATTAGTGTTTTTATGCTTTGGCGCAAAACCGATGTCACGACTTTGCATAGATGAATTTTCAATGCTAATTTTCGAGTCAAATCTATTTTGGTCTTTAAGGGTATGACATAATTAACAAAAAGTCCAATAAAATACCTTTAATTTGTTAATTTTTCATTCTTTTATAATTAATGAAATTATTCTAAATTTTTATCGGAGTTGTCAGTTGGCAACCCTTTATTTATTTTTTTACATAATAAAATATTAGTGTATTTTATACTTTTAAAAAAGTGTAATTTTTTTTTTTTTTTTTTATGTTTGATAATCATTTTATATGACTCGAAAATAAGAGTTATGAGTAAATCAAAATCTTGTTATCCGGTCTAGTTAGAAAACTGCTATTTTGCAAGAAGGGATTATCAACTTACTTTATCTTATCCCTTAGGCCATGCCTAAAAATAACGATAATGATGATGATAATTGAAATGGAGTTTTAAAATCAAAAGATGGGTCAATGTTCAATTATGGCATTGATTTGGACGAAAAGATAATTGGTCCACGTTTACTTTAGAGGGATTAGGAAGTAATTAATTTAAGATTAAATTAAGATTCAAAGTTAAAGGGCGGGTCAAGGGGACAAGGGGTTGAAAATTGGAAAAGTAAAAGAGTGACTCCGGTGGTGGGGACAACGTTAGTGGCGGCTATAGCCTATAAGCATGTTTGTCTGTCATCTTCTTACACTTTTTAAAAGTTGGTGGCATATATTAGGTATCAATTTGATTAAGTTATCATACATCTTGTACTACAGTATCAAGGTAACGTTACCTAATGTTCGCAAGATTTAAGAATGAATTCAAACCTTTATAAGATTTAAATTGGCATATATATATATATATATATATATATATCACATTATAAGATTTTTATGAATCTCAATATTCTATTATTTTTTTCTTTTATTTGTTAACCGAAGTGTTCAGACCAATTTACGAATATCTCGACTGATCATCAAGAGAAGTTATCCTACAACGACCTACCATCCTAGCCTGTCTAAGTAAATCATAGAACTACCTTTGCCAATTTACCTCATAGGAGTATAGATTAAAGTCATACATAGTCCCCTTGGTTCAACCTTATAGCTAGACTATACATGGATAAGTAATATTGTAGTATTTTATAAATTATTATTCCAAGAATAATGTTATACATCTTAGTTATACATCCTAAAGCTTAGAATGACAGATCATTCAAAATGAATGTATTCTTTTGAATGAGAGTAACAATTTGAATGTCTTTTTCATCCATCAGCATTCATAATTTTTGTGATTGTATTATTCCTTTATTGCTTAGATCAGAAATGGTAATCCAGCTAGGTTTCTTGTAGTTTTGTGTCTTATCTTTTTTGGGTTGGGATAACGGATTAATGGCCACTGAGGTTTGGGCATCAGTATCATGTCTGCCTCATTTTCATTTCTTTACCAAAAGTATAGTTCCACTTTAAGGTGACAAAAGGCTAACAAATAACAATTGTGATGCTGGTTGATTCATCAATAATTAACAAAAATCTTACAGGATAGGGTAACGTTACCTCCTCCGACAACCCTTAAATCAAAGTAGGATCGACTGATTTTCATCCACAGATTATGTCGAGAGGATAACGTTACCCTCAGTAAGATAGAAAAGAGAACTAGCCCGACACAAGAGAAACCAATTTAGCAATTTTTTTTTTTTTTTTTTTTAAATTTATAAATTTATCGTTCTACAAGAGGTTTTGAGATTGAATATTACTCGCATTAAATCTATTGTCTCTCCTTTAGAGTAGCGTTACTTGCTAGTTTACCTATACTTGTTCCCGCGACGCCTCCTCCAGACCAAGCATTCTGTACAAACAAAAACTGAGATTGGAGAGCAGTGGCTACAATGTGTTTGTATCTTCACACAAAATTTCCTCACCTGGAAATTGAAACCGCCAGTTACACCATCAACATTTAGTACCTGCATGAAAAGTTCAAATTCATTTAGACACATACAAACACGCTCCCTTATTTATCTAAGCTCTAGGGTCATGAATTCAATCCTACAAGGTGGAATCATCATGTTATTATGTTAATAAACGAGAAGTTAACAAATGGTAATTGGTATGGAACTACACCTCTCCTTAGATTATGAAAGAAATGGAACCCCTCAGACAATGGAACACCACCAGCAGTGACGAACTCATCCTTAGATTGGCCCCTTATCAGAAATAAATTTTCAATAAGTAACGGCTCCTACCTTCCCAGTCACTTCAAATGTACAATGCTTTAGAAGATGAGCAATGGAAATTAAAGAGTTGTTTGAAATGGAAGCCCACAAGGTATCTCCACATAAACCCTGTATATAAACAAGAAAAAATAACATCCATAAGGCAAATTTTGCAAGCAGATGCTAAATATATGATCTTTCAATTTGGAATGGCGTTGATACCTCACGGTCCAATATATATTTCCAGAATCTTTTCACAAGGCTAAATTCACAAGGACATGAATTGATCACTTTTTGCTTCTGTAGAGAGTGATTAAAAGCAAGAAATTATCAATTCAAAAACAACTAAGCAGAATGCTATTATGTAGTAGTAAGCATATTGATGTCACCGCATTACTGTCCCAGAGAGATCAATTCAAACACCAAAACTATCCTTGTATGACTATAAGGTTACTTAAATGACCAAACTTACTTGTTTATATGAAAATCCATATATAAAATGGGATTTTTCTTTAACCATCATAAATCTCAGCAGCAAGGCAGCAACAATAATACACCATTGCCTGATTAAGAAAATAATGGTACTGTTATCTATTTCTGGAATAAGAATTAAACGAGGACAAAGAATTACCACAAACTGTTTCTTGTGCTTACGAAGAATTGACTTCATATCTTTTATATGTAATTCAGGTACAAAATCCACTATAAGTATCCTGCATCCAAATACCAGTAAGTTCAAAAGCTAAAGAATATAAATGTTATAGTCACCGAAAAAAATAGTTATCTTTACCTTTGTAACCTCATCTGAACAGATCACGGGCGCCCCAAGCAGATAGTCGAAGAATTATCGGTCCACTAAGTCCCCGAGCAGATCACAGGAATTTTATTATTTTATCTAGTTACTTAACGATAGTCTGTAGTTGGCCTTAACTGGAAGTAAAAATCAGGAGAGGATTTTTTTCTCTGACCTGCCGGACTGGTACATTACACACCAACACTACAAAGAATATTTGTTATATCATTTCTGATTTAATTTCAGAAATTATTTTATTATTCTCTGGGAAATCGTAATCAAATTATACCTCAAAATCTAAATTGTAGCATAACTTATAAGCATATCATCACTTTGGAGCAGTTATGAATTATGTGAAGTATAAAATATTCTAAAAACTGATAAGTCACTCCCACAGGTTCAACAAAAAATGGGTGAGACTCTACAATGTGAGTAAACACTAATCAAAAAGCAGAACTGTCTCTCATTTGTTGTGCCTTGCATCAAAATTTTCTTAAAGTAATTCAAGCGTACAAGTAGAAAAACATATCCTGAGTATAAGATCTTCAAAGGTTTGAAGAATAATAAAAGTAACCCTCCAAGTTCTCACTTGAAGCAAATGAAGCCCTGCCTCAATGTCCTGCTTTTCGTTCCATCTTGCACATTAAATGCCTCTCGCTCAGGAAAATTCCGTTGCCATACACAAGAAAACATTAATTGTGTACAAAGTAAAACTCTTCTGGTCGGAGATCGAAAATAAAAACCAGCAACCATCAAATTAATGCAGGAGGTGCACTGGAGATCAGTATAAATCATCTAAGTAGCCTGAATGAAGGAAAATTATTCTTCGAACTTTTTTGATGAAATATTTACAAGCTTTGCACGCCGTCTTTTCTTATCCACCTCCACAAATCGGTCAAACTGATTTCCCGCAAAAATAGAAAATCTGCATTGACTGACCTGCCCCAAATCGAAGGAGGGCCCAAAATACAGGGACCTTTCCAAAGGATTGAATCCAGCAAACTGTTAAAGAGAGTGGAAAATCCACAAAAAAAAAATTAAAATCATATTAATGAATAAAGAGAAATAACAACCAAAAAATTACCTCGACAACATTGAAATGAGAATAAGAGTTCTCTGATTTTTTTTACTGCACTCTTCCATCTTTGGTACTTTGATGCAACACCAACACCAAGTTCAGACTTAGTGTATGAAGACTAATTAATTCCAACAGTATCTTCCGTGACTACCCTTACTGGTTAATCTGTAGCCTGAAAACAAACACCTATATCAATAAATATCATGAACATCAATCAACGATCCTAATTTTGTGCCAAAATTGCTTCCTGTAGAGGACAGCCGGCGGTTCAGACTAAACAATGTATATCTGCAATGAACACTAAACAATTTACATCTACTAACAAAAATTATTGTGATGTCTCTGACAAGTGTATGCCAAAGACACTAAACAATGTATATCTACCAACATAAATGGACAACAATATGAAAAGAGGAAACAACGAATAAAAACTATCTGTAAACCGCTGCTCCATACTTCATCATGTTCTTTCTGAATTGTTCGGCAATAACAGTATTACCAATTACCTCAAATAACACGCATACTAAGTAAACAAATAAAGTTCCACAAACCCAGAAAGCTTGCAGAGAATGTCTAAAGTATAAAACTAATTCCAAATCATAAATGACACAAGAGTACCCCACCTGCCCATCGGATAGGAACCCAGCCACATCAATTGCAGGAGTGAATACTTCAGGAAGCAATTCTGGCTTGTTAACCCCAACTTTTGTCTTCAGGGTAGAGTCTCATTGTCCAATATAACAATAACAAAAGCGTGCTTATTTAACAGAAAAGCCTAAGGGAAGTAGACAGGCCAGTTGTAATAATAAGCATCACGGAGCTCTTTGTCCATGTACTGGTTCCACTGGAAGCCACAAAAGAAGAAAACAAAAAGAAAACAAAACAAAAAAGGTATTATGAGAAGATAGATTTCCCACTTGACAAAGTAATAAAAATGTTATCTGTACTTAGCATATAAAATTCAAGAAATTTTAGCTTCAGAGATGTAATATGACATAAGCTGATACTTTCAAATCCCGCCCGATAGTCATCAAAGTCTCACCTGGTGTTGGAAGAGGACAGCCGGCGGTGGTGGTGGTAGCGGTAGCGGACAGATGGCGCTGGTGGGGGTCGAAGCCCGAAACGTGTGGGTTTTGTACAGGATTGAACGGTAGTGGAAGAGGAAGAGAGAATGACGGTGGTGAGTGGTGGTGGAAGACGATAGCCCTTAACATGTGGATTTGAATTTTAGGGTATGAATTTTTTTTTTTTTTTTTAATTTTGGGAAGTGACGTGGCAATTGAAGTGGCAGCACGTGGGATTGTGAGAGAAGGTAGTAGTATTATTGACCCACCCTTCCAAAAACATCCTACCCACCACAACTGCAAATCGTAGCCTCCCACCGCACAGCCACCACAAAACACCGCCGTTCATCAAGAAACTAAACCCCACCCATCACAAACCACTATGTACAGCCGCCACCCACAGGCAAATCACCACCACCACCACTCTAAAGATAAAACAAAAAAGAAATTGCGATCCATGTCGCTCACTGAAATTGAGAATGGCAGAGGTGGCTTTAGCGAAAGTACAGGAAAATCTTGACCCAGCAGAGCTCTCCTCTGACTTGGAAACCATAAGCAATGAGGAGAGGTTTTTCGTAAAATGGGTCTGAGCATGAAACTATTGTCAGAGGGAAAAGTTTTGCACCAGTCAAGCAGATTGCAATTTCGTTAGAGACTGAGAGTGGTGGAGACATCAAATTTCTGTCATTTGGGTTGTGGTTCCTCCTCCACGTTTAAACTGAAATCTCCTTCGTATTGTTTCACTTGTCCATCAATACCATCGTGGAAATATATCTTAAGGCCACACTTCTTTACATTGTAATTTTCTCCACTGAAATCAGAAGGAACATACCGGATTTCTTTTCTGACCAACTGAGGTTCATCGATATGTGTCAGTAATACATTATCTGACATAACACTGTAGCATTGAAACATATCCAAGTCGGCACTCTCGTCCCTCACCTCTGTCTTACCATATTGGTCGAAGACAATAAATTGTTGGCGATCAGACAAAAAATTGTGCCAACACAGTCGCGAAACCTCGTGATTGGAATAGGTTCACCTAAGGGTAACCTCTGAAGACCGTTCAAAGATGATATGGCATGTGGTAGTTCTCTTGTGCCAGTATAATTAGATTGGGTGCCTCCAAATCTTCTAATTGTCCTAAGTTGTTGAGGAATCTATGGAGGTTTGAGGAAGGTGTGAGATCAAGGTACATAAGAGTCTTCAACTCACAAATGTCGCGGGGGAGACTTTCAAGCCTTGGACAGAATGCAAGATCCAAGAGGAATAGGCTTGATGGACGTTCGATGCGAGGCAATTTTGTTATAGATGTTCCATCTAAATAGACTTCAATCATGTTACACGTGATGGTTGGAGCAATCTCGAGACTTGAGCAACCAGAGAGCATAAGTTCTGTAAGAAATTTTGATTGAATGTCCATGGAAAGAATTCTAAGGCTTTTGCAACCTTTAAGATTCAACTTATTCAACTTTTTTAGATATTGAATTGACGGATCAACTTCAATCAAACTTATACAACCTTCTAGAATCAAACTCTCAAGGTTTGGGATCATTGAGAGATTTGGAATTCTGATTAGGTGCTTGGAGTGGATAAGGTTAATATGCTTTAACTTCTCTAAATGCTGCAAACAATAAATTAAGGAGACGAGGAAGTAACATAAATTATATGATTAGCTTTATGATTTTCTACAAAAAAAGAGAATATCAAGATAAATATTTATCCCTGGAGACCATTCCAGAGTTGTTTAATTTTGCTACTAGGCATGATAAGCGCAACAAGATTTTGCAACTCAAAATTTGATGGCAATGAATCCAAAGGATATCCAAACCAGCGAAAGTACCTTATGTCATATGAACTGAATTCTAGGCCCTGCAAAGCACGAACCTTATTCTCATTCTCTTCGTTCGGTGAGCAATATTGACAACTAAAACCGCCACGACACTCGTATTTATCTAAGCAGCATCTACAATAAAAGTACGAGAAGTCTCCAGAGTAATCCTCTTCAAAGGCCAAGTAAAAGTCCGAGTAAAAGTTCGAGTAAAAGTCCAAGAATCTGAGGTTTTGCATCTTCAAGAAAGCATCGTACTTCAAGTTTATCTCTTTTATTTTAGAAATATCCAAGGAGATGCATTCAATTGCTTCAGTTCCCTAACAATCAAATGACAATAAATTAGTATCTTAAATAAATGTCAAAGCCTACTATTACAACATGTAGTTATAAAATTATAATCTATTTTATTTTTTTCTCGGATTCTTTTTTGTAAAATTCAAATGTAGGCATGCCCCAAATCTAACTTAACCCTTACCTGTAGGAACTAATAAATTAGCAAGTATAGAATGTGGACGTACATGATGCATGACGATTAAAAATTAATAATAATAAATGGATGATGTTATCCAATTTATAATAATATAAAAAATTAATCAGTTAGTCTCTCACCGTGTTTCTTCTTAACACTTGATAGATATCATCATGACGCTATAATCTGCTGTGTTTACCTGGATCTTTAGATTCTTGCTCAACTACTGTTTACCCCATTTGTTGTAACAAATCATGCATACCTATCTCATTGTATTCTATAGTTATGAGAGACTTGTCAATGAGATTACTTACTCTCAAGTCAGAGACAAATTGAATGACATCAAGAATTTCTATTGGAAGACGTTTAAATTTGTTTTTAGTTTTTTCCAAAAAGCATGCAATATCTAGAAATAAATTTTTCTCTTGACAATCAAGTCCATCGTAACTTATTTTCAACACATCTTGGATTGTTGGATTTAGATTTCCCTGTAAGTCACATAAGGCACTTTCCCATACTAACTTTGGCTTGCCAAAAAGTAAGCCACCCAAAACTTTAAGAGCTAATGGAACACCATCAGCGAATGTTGCTACCCTTATTGATAGCTCCTCGTAACCTGTTGGAGGATACTCCTGCTTAAAGGCATGTCGACTGAAAAGTTCAAGAGCTTCATTATCCATTAATCCCTTAAGCTCATATATATTATCATGACTCACTCCACAAACTTTAAGTGCTTGTCTATCCCTTGATGTTATTATTATGCGACTTCCAAGACTAAACAATGAGGATCTCCGATTAAATTTTCCATTTGCTCTACACATGTCACATCATCAAAAATATTAAAACCTTCTTACTACGAAGCTCTTTAGTGAAGGTGGACTCAAATGGATATGGTCCTCTAATAATGCAGAAAGAATTTTCACTCAAATAATTTGATGTAGTTTTTTCACCTCTTCCCTACATTTCCTCGAAGTGGCACTTTCAAACTGACTTGCAAGTTTGGCAAATACTGCACGAGCGAGAGTTGTCTTACATACCTCCCATTCTCCAAATTCCTACCAATTTGACAATATCTTTTGACTCAATACATAGTAGTGATCAATGTCCTTGATTCTCGATTTTACTCCAACGAGGCCTTTGTAATCAATTTCGGATTATGATTCAGTATTTTGAAAATAAATTGATAGTATTTTCTATCAAGTCAGCTTCAACCTAACAAAATATAAAACACAATAGTAAGTTTAATTAATCAAAGAGAAAAGTAATTCTATTTAAATTAAAATAAAATTTCTATAACTTTTAGTTAAAATGCCAAGTGCTTTACAAATTAAGTCAATAATATATATTCATAATTAAATATAGTAGTACAAATATTTTTTTCATTAATAATACACCTTAAAATATCTAAAAATTTATTATAGCTTAAGTGTAAACAAAATAACTCCTAGAAAATTTTAAAGTGAAAATTTTAAAATCTTAATCATTCTGAGGTCTCTAAATCATGCAAAGGTCTTAAAAATTCCATCTTCTTAACAAAAACCAACCAAACTGCTTGATATACAATACAAGTAAATAACTGTTTCACGTTTGGGGTTCAACGCAAAAGCAGAAAACTTTCTTTTTCGGAGTGGGACGTTAAAAGAAGGTAGCTGCCATAGTTCTCCCGATACTTGCAGTTTTTGAAAAGACTTCAAGGTTGAGTACTAAGCGCGCTAAAGTGAAGTTCATGATTGCCCAACTGGATTTCCTTGTAGCGGGTAGATAGTTTTAAGGGAACCCACCCTGACTGACGAGACGACTAGACAACTTATTCAGAAACACACAAACGACGAGGCGTATCTCAACCTTAACAAATATCATAAGCCGAGTTGCAATATTTTAATTTTGCAAAATCGTCCTTAAAATTTATAAATTATATTAATAAACTCAAGTTTCCTTTTCTAGAATAATGTCATTATATCTAGGGCTGAGCAGGTCTGGGCACTTGGCCACAAATGAGGAATCGGAATCGAAACTACACAGTACTACTTCCTGAGTTTGAGGAACCAAAACCGGAAATGGTATTGTGTGGTTCCTAAACATTGGAACGGAACTAGAACCAAAACCAGAACCTATCGGTTCGGGTATCCTGTACTTTTCACATAAATTACAAATATATCATCTACTGTTCATATAAATTACAACGATACCTATACCGTTGGGTGAGGACTTTCGTAAGCAGGTGGGGGGCAGTAAAAATAAACCAACCTCAACCAACTCCAACAAAAAACCAAATAACTCCACAAACACAAACAATTCCACAACTCAACTAACAACAATCAATCGACTCCACAAAGCACATTTTGGGCATGGAGGTGACAAACAAAAGCAAACAACATGCAAGGCAGTCAAGGCACATTGGCTCGCGGTGTGGTAGGGTAGGTCGCGCTCAGAGCCCATCAAGTAGCACACAATCATGCGTTGGGGCAAGCGATTGTGGAGAATTGGGCGTGTTGGTTCACTAAAACATAGTCAGCACAAAGTGGGTTGTGTGAGCGGTTGGCTAGATAAGGCAATTGCATGACTTTGAAGCCTGACGTGCAACAAATAGGTAGGTAAAGGTGGCTAAGCTGACAAGAAAATTTGGGAAAGTTGTTTGGCGCCAAAAAATGGTGAAAAACAACTAGCGGCGGCGTTGACATCTATCCCAAAGTTGAGAGAAATTTTTTCTCCCTCATTTAAATTCCCTCTTCCTGTATAGAAATAGCCGAATGAAAACGATAACAGTGAGGATGGTACAAAATCAAGAGAAAATTTGCTCATAGCTTGTGGTTTGCAAACATGAACATTGTTTTAAAACCTAGCCTGGGAGGGTGACCAGTCAGTTGATTGGGTCCTGGGTTGACCAGTCTAACCAGTTGGACGGTGACGTCACAATAAAAATTTTAGAAAAATTAAAATAGTCTTTTAAATTTTAGTATATTGAAAATACCCCTACAAAATACAAATTAGTTCCTGAAATTTTAATTTATTGCAAATACACAAAAAAAATGAGACGAGTACCTAAAGTTTTAAAATATTGCAAAAAAACCCTTAGAAAATTACAATTTAGTCCCTAAGGTTTGAAATGTATAAACCCCTTGAAACCGAAATGGACCGAAGAGGCTACCGATTCCCAATCCAATGGTTGGCTGGTCTGGGTTTTAAACAATGAACAGAGGGAAGTGAGGCTGTGCGAGGAAGACAAAGAACAGAAGACTCGAATTACTAATATATGTGAACCATAAATTATACAACCCCTATTTTTGCTAAAATTAGAATTTTCCCCTATTCTTGGATTGGTTCCTAGTGATGGAACTGTTACCAAAACCGCATAATACAAGTATCTAAATTTTAGAACTAAAACCTACAGCTTATTCCGATTCCAATTAGGAACCAAAACTAGAACGTTGAGTGCTTGACGGTTCCGGTTCCACCTGGCATTTTTGCTCAATCCTAATTAATCATAAATTACATTGTAAGTGATATCAAATTTCCTATTTTGCCCTCATTCCATTTCCCGCCCATTTCAATTCTGTTATCTCCTAACTAGAAAACCCACCCTAAAATAACTAACTCATCATAATTTTGTTTTCTCTCAAGAAACCAACAAAAAATATGGCAAGAAAAAGAGACATTCTTTCCAATCTAACCCCACCTCATCTACCATCGTTGCTTCTACCTCAAAGCCACCACACCATCGACTAAATCACTACACCCTGTGATTTTTCATGAAGCTTGCAAGTTCAAGAGGCAATCAACAGGAAACTACTTCAAGGCCTGACAGATGGTTAGGAAATCAATTTCTTGTCACCAAGAATCCCTCACATTCTATACCTTGAAGTTGTAGCTCTCCAGTTTATTGGCAAAACAATGACCAAATATTTTGAGGAAATGATCGAATACTTTGAAAAGGCATATGAGTCGGCTTATTTGTCGTGATGTCATTGCATGTTTGATCCATTTTGCTTCTTGTGCAATTGTTTTGCTATATCAAAAGGCTTTGCCAATGCCAAAGATTAGGACAAAGTGATAAATGTATGCAAGAACTGGTGAACTTAAAGATTGAGAATTTAATTTATCTGGGCTAGTTAGTTTGTTATAAGAATGAAATGTGAACCGATCAGTAAAGTCTCAAGAATTGAATATGAGAAGGAAATGGTTGAGCAGTATTTAAATCTGTAAGGATGAGTAGAAGCTTTGTTTTTTGAAGGTTTTGTCAAAAAGGCTAGTGAAAAGAGTGTAGAAAAGGCATGT